TTAAACGTTGAAGTTCCAAAGGATCAAATATACCCCTTAAAACTCAAAGGGATAAGTATATGCTTCAGTATGTTAAAAGCAGCTTTATGCGGGAGTTACGTAAATTTTGGTGTGTTCAGATTATATGGTGACGAGGCATTGGATAATGCACTTAATACATTTGTAAAATTACTTCTTAGTATACCACAAAGTGATTTATTGGTATGCATTAATTAATTTATACAAATGTTTTATTTAAAAGATAAATATAAATTTTATATGATTTAATGTTGTTTTCTTATAGGATTATCCAAAATTATCTACAACATATTTTGTGTTACTTGAATGTTTGGCTCAGGATCACATGGTATTTCTTTCCACTTTGGAACCCAGAGTATTCTTGTACATTTTATCAAGCATCAGCGAAGGCCTTACAGCACTAGGTGCGCAAAAAAACTCCTATACAGGTCTGTGCGGCTGATTCTATTTTATTATCATTCTCTTATCCTCTATGCCATGTCACAGGGTTATAAAACCCAAATCACTTAGATCAATTTCTTTTTTCTAAGAAACTGTTTGTTAAATATTTTGCATTCTCAAAAATTAATAAGACATGAATAATTGTTTATGATTTCAGTATAGTAGAAATATTAATTATAATGAGATACATAATTTAGTAGTGATTTTTAAATTCTTTGAAACATTTTGTCCAAATTTTACTAGATTTTCTTTATAAATAAACATATTCAAAACTATATATTAAAGATATGTAAATAATCTTGTTTCATGCATGTACGAATTTGGACAATATTAATGCAGTTTTATAATTATCAGTATAAAGTATAAAAGAAACCAGAAAAAAGTTAGATAATAAGAATGTTTAATTTTGTTTATGTTTATTTGCTTTTTGCATTGTTGCTTGGAATGTAAACCTGCATTTAGGTATATTAGTTACTGCTATAGTTTGAAAGAAACAGAAACAAATGTATGCTGAGTAATTTTTATGCATATAAAAAGAATGATTTAATCACTATAATCATATAGGCAATGAGAGGATTGGAGTTTGTAGAATCTAGACCCTAATTGCTATTGTTCTATTGCTTTTTTTTTTTCTCAAATTTTTATTCGTATTTTTAATGTTGTATTTAATAATAATGTTGTATTAAACAATTTAAGAATTCTTTATTCTTTTAAGATTATATTACATAGTGGGTCTAGCACACATAGTCAGCCGCACAGCTGGCATGCTACTAAAATATATTACTATTCATAGTTATAAGTAGTTAAATTACTAATTTACTAATCGTTATGTGCTGTTTTCACGTTTTATGCTTTGTTTTTCATTCAATGTATGATATGCTAAATTATGTACAACATTTTATTGCAAATACCTAAAATATGAATGATTATTGTTTGTTCGTTTACTTATTCAAAATTGACATTGATTATTTTTTTATTTACTACATATTTTCTATTAATACCAGGAATTTCAAATTTTTTGTATATTTGAATAAAATTAAATTTGGAAAATAATAAATGAACAAATAATTTTACAGAATTCACACTATTTTCAAGGTAGGTTTCTGTATTAAATTCCACAATACTTACTGATTATATTTATCTATGTTTTTATATTATTATTATTATTATTTTATTATTATTATTATTTTATTCTTATTATTTTATTAATTGTTCATATTTTAAAGTAATTGTTTAATTTTATTTCAATATAAAACTTGAAATAAAAATTACAAAATTTTTTTGCAGATACAATGGTCTGTACTGGTTGCTGTGCAACACTTGATCATATTGTGACTTACTTATTTAAACAACTATATCAAAAAGGTATCATCTATTTACTAGTATTCGTTTCATATATCTATGTTAATGTGATTTGAATACAACATGTACCCTTTTCGTCAGGGGGATATCCAGGAAGAAAAAATACTGTAGTTCCAGGAGGGGGAGACTTGTTTTTACAAGTTTTGAAACAACATCCTGAAATTCTTCAGCAAATGTTAAGTACTGTTTTAAATGTGATAATGTTTGAAGATTGTAGAAATCAATGGAGTATGTCACGTCCCCTTTTGGGATTAATCCTTTTAAATGAAGAAGTAAGTAGTACTTTGTTTATTATAAGAGCTACATTAATAAATAAAAAATTTTATAATTTTACATTGACATTAAATATTTATTATTGCAGTATTTTAATCAACTACGAGAAAATATTATTAGAAGTCAACCAGTTGATAAGCAAGCAACAATGGCACAATGGTTTGAAAAGTTAATGGAAGGGATTGAAAGAAATTTACTCACAAAAAATAGAGATAGGTAAGAAAAATTCTAAAGAATAGTATAAGATTATAAATATTTATACATTTTTATATGTATCTTTATTTACAGGTTTACACAAAATTTATCATTGTTTAGAAGAGATATAAATGATACTTTAAAAGGACCTAATACAACTGCAAACTCTATCAGTGATATGATGACCTTCAATTAGATTCTTCTAGGTTCTTGCCTGCCAAATGCTTGAATGTGTGTGCGAGTGAAACTATAAATTATGGTGGATTTAAAATTATGATTTTAGATGAGTATAAAGATAATAAATTAAGTACTGTTGTTTTACAGAAGCATTATTGTTCGGCTTCTTTTTTTTTTTTTTTTTTTTTTTTTTTTTTAATTTTTTAATATATAGAATTATTATAATATTTATAATACCCAAATCTATGTTTCATTTTTTAATTATACTCATATTCACGGTATACTTCAAAGTTAAGTTTTGTGTATTTCATCTTAGATTTGTAAACAGGAAAGACCAAATCCTTTTTATTACCTTTATACTCCTGTCATTTTGATTTAATACGATATTGAAACATAAATATTCTAGCACATATATTAAGTACAAAAACTGATTGGCAATAAATATATTAAATTTCATAAATCGACAATTACTGCATATCGTGCAACAATGTATAGATAAATCAGTTGAATTCATTTTGGTTGCATTTTACAAACGTTTATAATGTTATGCTATCAATTTAAGATTACAACATTTTTATCTTATGTTAACATTAAAGCATGTATTTCAGATACGAATAATTTGTTTCACACTACATTTTAGTAAAAATTTAAGTTCCAGTGCCAAGGATCACCTTTTCACGCATATTATTCATTATATCTGCACCTTATTTTAAATAAATAACAAATTATCATTTTGATTATTAAGTAACATTGTAAAAATACAACTTAGAATAGGAAGCCAACTATATAAACTATTATCATAGATCTTGTTCCATATTATTTTTACACGCAACCGACTTCCATTTATTTAAATGTATTCATTATTAAAATATTTTTTATTACAAAATATAAGTTGCAATTTTATGATCATTTTATAAAATTAAAAGAAAATTATGGAGTTGTCACGAAAATATTAATCAGCTATTATTAATTGTTGTTCAATTATCAATTGTTATTAGTTGGACAGATCAATCATTAAATATATCATTATTATTATTAGTATGAAATTACATTTTTCGTTAATATTTTACTAGAACAAAATCAATGTTACATATATTGCAATAATAAGTGTCTTCAGACTGTCAACATGCATTTTCAAGTTAAAGCTATTCGCAAAGTCTTACAATTGTTTCTAATATTATATTTTATATTTGTATATTATAACTAACAAAGTTTTTAACAAATTTGTGCATTGTATTCATAGATAAAATGTATGTTATAAGTATATACAAAAAATTACACAAGAATTGATGTTATAATTGTATAAATACACAAAATTTTGAATTTTCCAATTTAATATATTTTGAAGTGAAAAATGTATTTTTTAAAATGCATGTTAACAAAGAAGAGGACTAAGAAGTTTTCAATAGTATATTTTATATTACACATAAGAATATCATGATATTTCTTAGTTTAGAATTAAAATGTTTTAAACTTTTTAATTATTTCATATACAACACAGTATTCTATATTTTATTACCATTTTTTTTATAATTTCTATAATATATAATAATTTCAGAAAAAGAGTTATAATCAAAAAAGTAACATTTATTTTGTTAACAGATTTGTATTTATTTGCAGAAATTTTGTTAAAAATAATATATTTTGATGGATATAGTACACATTCATTAATGATTGTGTACAATTTCTACCAATATATTTACAGCTTAATTTTACAACCTATTATCGAAAAGAAATATATTACATTCATTTTCTTTTTTTCCAAGAACTACATACAACATTAAATAGTGAGAATCAAATGTATGACGAATGCGTGTAAAAAAAAATTCACATGAGAGTTATGTAATATTAGTCTGTATACAGTTAATAATAATTTAGTAGAAGTTACATTAAATATTTACAAACACTTTCATTTAGATTGCATTTAATCATTTATATATTTTTTACTGTAAGATAGTAGAAAAAATTAATATGAAATGGTTGAAATCTTTTTTCTTTTTATAACAAATTTTTAGATATTTTATGTTTAATAAATACTTGTAAAAATGTTAGAAAATTACTTTTATTAACCGACTATCATGGTTAAATTTACTGTAAACAAATGTATTGTATATACCTTTGGTATAGTAAAAATGTTATATTTCATATAATACAATATAAGATATCCAAAATTATCTAGCGCAAAATTAGACTAATTCGTAAATAAAAAGAATATACTCATAAAACAATAAAACGTTTTTATTGATCAATTTCGTTTTTTCATTCAGTCAAATTATGCGCTAGATTTTTAAATAATTAATACATAAAAAATTATTAAAGCTTTTATATGTACTTAATATTACTTATTTGTACAATATATAGGTACGAATAATTTCATAATTTTTTATATTCGTGAAATAAGCAAAAAGGTATAAAGAATAGAATTCATTATAATTTTTCAGTTGGGCATATGAATGAAAATAGAATAACAAAAAGCCATCTGCTAACTATAATATTTCTATTTGTACATTCATTGAACTTTGTTAAAAATATATTCAACTTAATACATTTTCACCATTTTTAGACGTGAACATTAAATAGATCTTTTTACTTAATTCTGGACCAACTTTACGTATAGCTGTAAGAGGTCCAGCCGCTCTTCTAATCTGTAAAATATTAAAAATATATTTATGAAATGTAAGTAAGAATATCCATAAAATATTTAACTTTAATAATTTTCTAATTTACTATATGAATTATTTTATTTTTGGAAACTCATTTTATTCAAAATATTGTAATAAAAAATTTTCATTTACCGGGATATCTTTCAACAAATTTATTCCTTCATCATTTGGACAGTTCATATAAGCCTAAAAAGAAAAAAAAGCAACAGCAAAAAAAAATAGAAAAACATTACCTCGTGTTTATTATATATTAATATCTACTTCTATTAAATCTGTAGGACTTGGATATACAGAACAAATTGCTTCTGCAATTTCAAGACTACTCAATTTAAATTGACAGAGCTGTTGTTGCCACAATCTTTTCAATCCATTTCCATCTTTATCTACTTTTACAGTGTTCTTATTATCTCCCATTACATACCAATCAAATTTATTTGTTAAATCTTGATTCTTTTCTAGTTTATGTGGTGTTTCTGCTATAGCTTTTGTACATTGGTATATCATTAATGCTAAATCTTGAGAGTTATTAATTAGTTTGCTGCTACAACCAGTAATAATTTGTATTTCATTGAGACAGGTTTCAAGTTGTTTTCTTGATATTTTTGGGAAATTTTTAAACTGAAGATTATTTTTGGCATAAATTTCTTGTGCTTTTTTTTTTGTCCTATTTTTATTTAAATTTTGTTCTTGTTCTCTATATGCAAAGTAATCTTCTATTCCAAAGATCACTAATATTATTTTATAATTTGCTAATGAAGATTTAATGTTAGAAATAGATACACAGAAACTATTATCTGCTACTTTTGTGACTGTTTCATCCCAATTCCAAATTATCATTATTTGATTAACTTTTTCAACATTTGTTACTGTACATATTTCATTGGCCTCATTAATATAATTATTTTCAATATTTCTTTTCCATGTTATACTATTTGAAATAAATTCTATTTTAGTACTGTATTGTAGATTAGCATCTGTTAGTGTCTTTATTATATTCGTAAGAGAAGTAAAATTATCAATACCTTTATCAAGAACAACTTCCATAAATTTCATACATTCACCAGGTTTTGTATTTTTTGATTTCTTAATTGCAATTGTTTTTAATGCTTTTTCTCTTATTAAATGTTCCTGTCTTTTTAATTTTTCCAAATTTGGTTCAGTTTTACTTTTTTTTCCTACAGTTTTATCTTTTTTTTGGCTTTCTATATTTCTATTTTCTTTACTTGAATTTTTTACAGTATTAGATGAATTGGTGGAATTATACAAAGAATTTTTATCGTCATATTGTTTTAAATTTTTACTACTTCCAGTATGTTTATCATCGGTTTCATATAATGAAACATATGCATTTAAAGTAGGTAAATAGCTTTTGGTATGAGTTTGTGATTTAACTATATTATCTTCATTAATAGCATGATAGAATTGTATTTCAGGAAATTCAAAGTCACTTGAATCAGAATCATCAACCTGAGGTTTTATCTTACTTTTTCTTTTAACATTTTTCAGTTTATTATTTAAATTAACAGATAAAACAGATTCATTTGAATCACTTAAAACAATCATTTCCATATTAATTACCTTAAAACATTCGTGACTACAAATATTCTGCAATATTCAATTTATCTTTCAAATTAAGAAAAATTCAAAAATCTTGTGTGTTTTAAAATAGTACATTGACATGCAATAAAAACAGTAAATACTTATACCGAGTACACAGTAAATGCAATGAGAACGAATTCACCAATGAAATAATATGACAATATATAACACTTTAGAATTTTGAATAAGGCATTCTTTGATTGGCTGTTGAATTCTCGTACAGGTTGCATGCACCGTGTGTTCTATGTAAGCATTACTTTAACATTCGTGTTCCAAGCTTCGGGCGTAGACCAGTTCTGTTGAGCTATCGTTCACTTTCCAACTCTAGCGGAAATAATGACGTCATGAATGAAGAGTAGATAGCAAATGAGTGATACATCGAAATGATATGGAATTGTATATGTTAGAACTTAATTTCCAATGTAACTGATTTTAAAAAGGATAGTTTTATGTGGATTTTTTTTAATGATCCATAGATTTTTAATTGTAGACTTTTCATGAAGGTAAGAAACTGTTATCTTATACAATATTTTCCGTATGTAAGTGTGAATATTTTTTTGTGAGTAATCAGACCATTCTGACGCACCCTAACTTTTTCTGATATTCATATCTTATTATCAAAGTTATACTTTTCAGTCTTTTATTTTTATGATAAGTAACAGAAAAACGTTGCATTTGTATACGAAATTTATAATACGTAAATTATTGTGTTTTTTTATTGTTATTATTATACGTTATTTTAATAAATTTTCAAATACAATAATAAAAAAAGGAAAAGTAATTGTTATAATAAAGTAAATTGCAGTAGGTGAGTTTTTGTATTTAATTTATATTCATTTAATAAATTATCTGTATTATATTATAGCGGCACAGGTAATTTTCCAGTATACTATATAAATAAAAAAAATATTTGTATATTATTATTTTAATTTTTAGAATTGATTTATTTCAAATAACAAAAATGTCAGACCACTTTGGCCCAATAACTTTAAAATGGGATCCCAAAAATTTGGAAATCCGTACCATGTCTGTAGAAAAGACATTGGAACCTTTAGTTTTACAAGTAACTACGCTTGTAAATACAAAAGGTCCCAGCAAGAAAAAGAAAGGGAAGTCAAAAAGAGCTAGTGCTTTAGTTGGAACTGTAGAAAAAGCAACTAGTAATTTTATTGAGAAAGGTGAACAAATAGCTTATGAAAATCCTGATATTACTGCAGAAATGTTAAGTGCTGTTGAGGAAGTAAGAAAAACAGGTGCTGCAATGAGCATTGCTGCCAGGTATTATTTATTTTATATCTTTTTAATATACAAAAAAATTTTAGCACATGTTAATGTTATTATTAATTGTAGAGAATTTTCAGAAGACCCTTGTTCTTCTTTAAAAAGAGGCAATATGGTTCGTGCTGCAAGAAACCTATTATCTGCAGTAACACGTTTACTTATTTTAGCAGATATGGTTGATGTGCATTTGTTATTGAAATCACTTCATGTGGTAGAAGATGATCTTAAAAAATTAAAAAATGCATCCTCACAGGGAGAATTATTAGAAAATATAAAACAGTTTGGAAGAAATGCATCAGAGCTTATGAATCAAGCTGCAAAACGTCAGCAAGAATTAAAAGATCCTCAATTAAGAGATGACTTGGCTGCAGCAAGAGCTGTTCTTAAAAAGCACTCTACTATGCTACTTACTGCCTCTAAAGTTTATGTTCGACATCCTGAGTTAGCTGCAGCAAAAGCAAATCGTGATTATGTTTTAAAGCAAGTATGTGAAGCTGTGAATACCATCAATGATGTAGCACAAGGAAAAACTCCAGTTGATAGTCAACACCCTTATGAAGGACCTGGAGAATTAGCTGCTGCATTAGATGATTTTGATGAAAGAATGGTAATGTCTCCACTTGCATACAATGAAGTACGTACAAGACCCAGTCTTGAGGAAAGGTTGGAAAGCATTATCAGCGGTGCAGCACTGATGGCTGATTCTTCATGTACTCGAGATGAACGTAGAGAACGCATCGTTGCCGAATGTAATGCAGTAAGGCAAGCACTTCAAGATCTGCTAAGTGAATATATGAATAATGTAAGTATTTTATAAATCTTTATGTTCTACAACTTAAATATATACTTTGTATGTATATAAATTATTTATTCATACAAAGAAAAAGATTTAAATAAGTTTCTATAATTGCAGCAATGTAGAGAAATTTAATTATGTTTATTTTTTATAGTTTATTTTGGTTCGTACTTCACTGTATAACATAGCATTTAAATGTACAATACATCATTGTATAATATATTTGTAACTACATGTATACAAAAACATGTATATGCATATATACATATTCAAAACATATAATTATATTATCATTTAATATGATTGATTTATGTATGTCTTGGTATATTCATTTTACTCATTTGTTTTTTATTTTTGATGACTGCAGTTACAGCTTGCTCGGGGTGGGAAACGGGTAAATATGAAATTCTTGTGTTTTTTTTTACTATTCTTGCATATAATTTACAGATTAAGCAAGAAGTTTTTGTGGTTAAAATATTGTATTAATTACACACCATTTGATATGGTTTATATATTAATTAATAACAAGCACTAAACAAATAATTTTTAATAATTCAATGTTTTCTGATTTTGCAGTTATCCCCTAATCTGCACAATTATATATATTATGTAGATATATAAATAAGAAATATTATAGCACCAAATGTAATATACTTACAAATTAATAGAAATTAAACAAATATATAGTGTAGATAAATAGTGCATATTCTAAGCACAATTTAAAATTTGCAATCTAAAATTAGTTAAATATAAAATTAATTTTAAATTGATTATAGTATTAATTTGCTTTTATTCTTTTTTTACTATGTAAGGCTTACAATGAAAAAACAATTTTTTATGAAATATTATGTTATTTTATGTTTGCCTATGTACATAGCTTCTTCTAAAAAAATAGCTTCTTTCTAAAAAAATTTATTTTCATTAAAATAAGTAGAAATGTAATTTTTGTAATTAGTATGTTAACTATATATTAAATACCTCTACTTAAGAAAAGTATAGCATCTTCCAAGTAATAAAATAAAACAATCTTTTAGTTAATCATCATTTATCCTTTTAATAATCAGAAAAATATGTTCTACCTTGCACTTTAATGCTGTTAGTAATGAAATAGCTTAGATCTTACCTAAACGCCTATAAAATATATATTTTTATAATTTTACTTTATTAATTCCATATGTATTTTAACAGATGGGCGTTAAAGAACAATCTGAAGGTTTAGAGAGAGCAATTGATCATATGTGCAGAAAAACTCGCGATCTTCGTAGACAATTACGAAAAGCCGTAGTAGATCATGTATCCGATAGTTTTTTGGAAACAAGTGTACCTTTACTGGTTCTTATTGAAGCTGCAAAAAATGGTCGTGATAAAGAAGTGGAAGAATATGCCCTCGTTTTTACAGAACATGCCAATAAGCTAGTTGAGGTATATCATTATATTATACTTCTTCACAATATTAATTTTATTATAATTGCTTGTATTAAAATTACATTGATTATTTAGGTTGCCAATTTAGTATGTAGTATGTCAGGAAATGAAGATGGTGTAAAAATGGTTCGTTATGCGGCAGCACAAATTGGAAACTTATGTCCACAAGTAATTAATGCAGCACGTGTGCTTGCAGCTCGTAATCGATCTAAAGTAGCTTTAGATAATATGGAAGTGTTTAGACAAGCATGGGAGAATCAAGTAAGAGTATTAACAGAAGCTGTTGATGATATTACCACCATTGATGATTTCTTAGCAGTGTCTGAGAATCATATCTTAGAAGACGTAAATAAATGTGTATTGGCATTACAAGAAGGTGATGCTGATACTTTAGACAGAACAGCGGGTGCGATTCGTGGTCGTTCTGCCAGAGTCTGCAACGTTGTTCAAGCAGAAATGGATAATTATGAACCTTGTATCTATACAAAACGAGTTTTAGAAGCAGTTAAAGTATTAAGGGAACAAGTGATGCCGAAATTTGCACAGAGAGTAGAAGTAGCGGTAGATGCTTTAGGTAGTAATCCCGCTAAAGATGTGGATGAAAATGATTTTATAGATGCTTCAAGACTAGTTTATGATGGTGTTCGTGAAATCAGACGTGCTGTATTGATGAACAGGGTAAGGAAAATAAGTACTTATTTTTAGTTTACAACATTTTAGGTCACCATTAGATTTACATCATTTAGATTGTTTTCATTTTTATCTGCTGTATTTTAGGCGGATGAGGACTTGGATCCAGAAGACGTTGAACTTGATGAACATTATACGTTAGAAACTCGTAGTAAATCGAGTGCCCAAACCGGTGAACATGGTGTTGATGAATATCCAGAAATTAGCGGTATTACTACGGCTCGCGAAGCTATGCGTAAGATGCCAGAAGAAGATAAACAAAAAATTTTACAACAAGTAGAGTATTTCAAGAATGAGAAACTAAAATTCGATAAAGAAGTTGCCAAATGGGATGATGCAGGAAACGATATCATTGTTCTTGCAAAACATATGTGTATGATTATGATGGAAATGACAGATTTCACTAGAGGTCGTGGTCCTTTAAAGACAACTATGGATGTTATTAATGCAGCAAAGAAAATTTCTGAGGCTGGAACTAAATTAGATAAATTAACAAGGCAAATAGCAGATCAGTGTCCAGAAAGTTCTACTAAAAAAGATCTTTTAGCATATTTACAACGTATAGCATTATATTGTCATCAAATGAATATTACAAGTAAAGTTAAAGCAGATGTACAAAACATAAGTGGAGAATTAATTGTATCTGGACTTGACAGTGCTACTTCTCTCATTCAGGCAGCTAAAAATTTAATGAATGCAGTTGTACTTACTGTTAAAGCTTCATATGTTGCATCAACCAAATATCCTAGACAATCTACAGTAACTGTAAGTATTTTTCATGTATTTCATTTATTTACTTAAATTCTGTATTTCGTATTTAAAAAAAATTAATTAAATTTACTATTTATATAAATAATTAATATTAATGTTAAAATTTTCTTACTCATTAATCACTGGATTTTATAGTATGTAAGTATTTATATATAAAAAATATATTTATAGTTATAAGTTCAATAATATTTCAGAAATTATAATTATGATTTGTATTAAAAATTTGCGATTAATATTTATTTCTTTTGTATAGTCTCCAATTGTTGTATGGAAAATGAAAGCACCAGAAAAGAAACCATTAGTACGTCCCGAGAGACCAGAAGAAGTTAGGGCAAAAGTGCGTAAAGGTTCACAGAAAAAAGTGCAAAATCCGATACATGCACTTTCCGAATTTCAGAGTCCTACAGAAAGTGTTTAAAATTTTATGTGTAAGTAATTTAATAAAAATAGAATATAGTTAGTATATGGCATCACCTTTAAACAAACGTATAAGCAAGATGTTTTATTTTCTATTGAGTATAACAAACAAACTTAGAATCCGGGTTTATTATTAATTTATTAGTATAAAGTATAAAACAGAAGAATCACCCTTTCTACAAAACTATATCTTAGGCTGCCAAACTAATGAAACTAGATGTTTTGTAGTAAATGCAGATACATATTTTAAATATCATCAATGCACAATCATATAACAAGATGTTATTATTTAAGATGCTTGTTAGTAATAAAGAAAAAAAGAAAGAGAAAGAAAATTGTAAATGTTAAAGGAAGAATTAATTTTACGTGTGAGATTGTGATGAAAGAAAGACATTTAAGTGATAAATAATAAAATTACTTGAAAATAAAATATCTTGCATGAAGAAAGTGTTAACATTCTTTATAATTATGGATTCATAAATGTTTGAAAAAACGAAATAATACAGTATATGATCATGTCAATTTTCAGAAAACATTAATTAGATCTCAAAGATTTACCTTTTTTTCTAAGATATATGTGAATTTTAGATTTCAATTAATAAGGTGTCAACAAATTTTCATAGAATATAAGAGTGATATACAATCTAATGAAATTATTTGATAATTCATGATTATCCATTTCAATTATTATAAACTACAGATAAGTAAGTAATAATTTGTTTGTACTATGTTTACAATTTTACATTATTGATAAATATCAGTAATTAAATATATTTTTTTGCAAATGAAATTTACAATTTGGATACTTATATAATATTTAACTGTATAGTAGAATTTGTAACACCAATTAAGTATCTTCTAAAGAATGTCATCTTTTTTATTATCATTTATAAAAAATAAAAATTCATTATGCATTATGTGCATAACAATTCTCTAATAACATTTTATTAAATAATATTAATTGATGAACAGCATATATACTTTATATATATGCAAATGTCAACTTACCTGAGGCCTCATATTCCGTTTTATTTCTTGTGATATAAAATACTAGTATTGGATTGAAATTGGTAATTATTTTTTACTTTTGTTAATATATAGATTATTCTACTTAACAATTCTATAACTAGCACACATTGTTATACATATCCAACAATAATGTCTCTTACAATAAAAAAATGTATAAGGCTGTTATTTTAAGTAATATTAATAGTAATTACAGGCCTTGAATTTTTGCTAATATATTACATGAATGTCAGTTTCTCACTGTAATGAATTTTTTGACAATAATATTAATAAATAATTTGTTATACTTTTACAAAGAATTCAACTAAGATACAAATAATAATATTAACATTCTTCCAAGCAGTAACTATATCAATAATTCCAAGTAATATAAAGGTACATGAATTTGTTTATATTGCACATTACAATTTATGTTAATAGTATAATTTAAAATTGACATACACATAATTCAATATTTATAGAAATTATCTAGCCATATAGAACAACTGAAATTTATTACATTTATAAATTTTGTAGCAAACATTATATGATTCACCGATTAACTACAAAAATAGTATCTTGTACATGTGGCAAATACATAATAATAATAATGTAAACTTATGCTTCGCATTATATTTACTATTTCATTTATATTAATATAGTTATCATAGTAGATGTTGCATTGAAGTATATTAAAGTGTTTGCAGAAAGTGTGAAATAAAAATATTTCACATTTGTAGCTTTTAATACATATGTATTGGTATCAATTTTTTATTGTTGTAAAACTGATACTAATTTATATAGAAATAATTGTAAGATTAAATTGTAGTTACTGATATGCTGCCAAATACAAGGTGATGCTTTTAACAAATTTCCTTTTTTTTTTATCATTATTAATATTTTATCCATTATATTCATAAATAAATGTAATATTCCATACAAAACATCATATATTACTATCATAAATTAAATGGAGGGGAAACCATAAATACAATACATACATATATATTCTATATAATTCATTTATATACTAGGTATTACAGAAATAATAATACAGTACAAGAAAATGCAAATGCAAACGATTAATGGCAATGTAATAATCATAATAATTCACACTTGCTTAAACAATGTAATTACTTTTATTCTAATTTTTTATTACTAATCACTTTTGTAATAATACTTACAAAAGGTAAAATTTACCACTACAGGAAAAGTTTATCTAATTCTATTATTTATGTTTAAAATTCTTGGTTTTTTTTTTTTTTTTTTTTTTTTTTTTTTTTTTTTTTCTTTTTTTTTTTTTTTTTTTTTTTTTTTTACCTCAACATAAAGTTGAAAAGTGTATAACCTACACAACCACATAAATTATTAAATAAACCTAAAATAGTATTTGTGCTTGCTAATTTAAATATTTAAATTATTTGTATCATTGCATAAACAAATTCTTTTTTCATATTTTCCAGAGTATTTTTTTTTTTTATTGTACATAATATATGAAATAATTATAATTGCTTACTTCATAAAACTTAGAGTATCCTCTTCTTACCATTATTAGGATTATTATTATTTTTATTATTATTATTATCATCATTATCATTAGTAGTAGTAGTAGTAGTAGTAGTATCATTATTATTACACACCAAATAAATACAGGTACTATTGAAATAATTATAAAAAACATGATATTTATTTTTGGATATTGTTTAAATTTAAGACAATTTAAGTATTAGAAAACACAAAGTATTATGCAATGGTATATTATATAGTGGTTACATTGTAACCAAATGAATTTTTTTTTTATATATTTTCTACTGCTAAAATACAACTTTTTTATTGATATATATGACATGGTACTAAAAATATTAATTATATGGTATAAATATTGCATGTCATTTGAATTGACACAGATTTAATGACTACAAGATACATATTTATGTGACTATTTAGTATGCTTCGCACTTATACTTTTTAAACATTTTATTGCAAAAAGTAAAATTATATAAACTAAATAGATGCTTTTAATCAATATATTTTATGATATTATTTAACAAATTGGTAAAGAATTATTAAATATACATCAGATCCTGTTAAACAAATAATCTTAAATCTAGAAAACAGTCTCTTTTCATACTAAGTTAAATTTAAAATTCAAAATTTCCTTAAATTTATTGTTATTAATTGTTTTATATAATTAATGCACCACTAAATTTGAATTTTCCAAATAAATCTATGAATATTTGTAACTCTACTTTAAACTAAATATGTTACTCTTTTTTCTTTTGTTCTTTTTTATTTTTTAGGATTTTTTTTTCCATTTTTTATTATTTTACGAGGAGCCACAAGTAGAAGAGATATGTGAAAAAAATTTTAAAGTAAAATAATGTGAAAAATCATTAAATCAATAAGATATTTTTCCTGTGAATAATCTATATGATAACTCTACTTAATTTGCTTCATAATCACAGTTGCTGTATTCATACTAAAGTATGTTGTGACTAAAGTAATACAAATTTAGTTCATGCAATCTTATAAAATCCCGACAGTATGTATTTATCACAATGCAAAAAATGTTAATAGATTTGTACATAAATATGTGTATTCAAAGAGCACATATAAGTGGCGAATATGTGTGATTATTGTTATTAAAACAGTATCTTGTTATCCAAAAATTTCATTGTTAAGAAATTTGTAAGCTAGTTATTTCGCCACTTATGGAATTCTTCAATGATATTACATTTCATATACATACTCTCTAATCAGTTTCAAAATATTTTATAGAAATTTTATTACTTAATTAAAGTAAGTAAGTAATATATTGACTCTCATATTATAGATGAGAGTAAGAAAATGTGTCCCTCACAGCCTGTGTAAGACTTTCATTTGAGATCTTCAAGTCTTTCAAGACATATGCTGGTAGAGGACCAGAATTATGATGTAGGATTTTTTAAATAAAAAAAACTGCTAATAAAAATAAAGATTAAAATTTTTCTCGTGTAATTAGATACGTTAAGTAATGTGTTATGAACAAAATATGCATTGGATGCAATACATTTTTTAATGCAACATTTTACTTACATCAGTCTTAACGACTTCAGTATATATTCTTAATTCACGTCAATCATATTACAGAAGATGTATACCAGTATAAAATAAGTGTTACAAAAGGAACTCTTAGAAAAGTGTTTCATTTAGAAACGCATACTACAATGTATAAAAACTTTCAGATCTGAACAAAAGAAGCATTCTGAAAGAATTAAAAAAAAAAGGTATGTTCACTTAGATATAAGAATTCATAATCGGATGTGTGTACAACGTAACTCATGAAAATTCGTATATTTGTTTTTGTATGCTGCCTCAATTTGTAATGATATATATAGGATAAATCTTTACTTTTGAAAATACTTTTTTTCAGTTAAATAAAAAGTATAAATTGCGAATTTCCATAACAAGTGATTTATGTATATATTGTTGCTCATTATATTGCCGAAAAATATATATGTAAAATTAAATGTTTATAATATTATGCAATATTTCACGACTATAAAAATTTGAATATATTTTTTTCAATTATGATTATGCAACTGACTTCATTACTCTTAAATATCATATAACAGCATTATGTATTATCTGCTTTGCTGATCATTATACCTTTGTACGTGTAAGGACAGTCATTTAACTTTTAATGCAATTCAGTTAATACAACTGTGTTACTGAAGGTGGTAAACATTAACCATACGTATAGCCTATGTTTTATTCAATTAAAGAAATGAATGTATGGCTTCTATGATGATTCTGTAGTAACTTCTGGTGGTGTACTTACAGATGTTACTGCTGACTTGAATGCTGGAATAAATTCAGCTGCATTTGGATTCAATGTACTCTGAAAACAAATTACATATGTTAAATTTAGTATATATAGAATAAAGTATCATTCAGAATATAAAATGTATACAATTATAATTAAGTACAGATCAATTAAATTATACCTGCTTAGCAAGGTCATCATGCATTTTTAGATTACTAAGTTGCTGACAAAGTTCAGCACCATTATTCTCAGGCATACTTGTAGCAGTAGACCAAGCAATAGAATTTGTATTTCGATCATGTTGTCTTTCATCTTCCCACATTGCTTTTAAGCATTCCTCTGTTAATTCTTCTTCCATTAATTGTTGGATCACCTATGATTTTTAATTATTATCATATTAGTAGTATACTATTAAAAAATTTCATAGCTAAATAATTCGGTTATTACTAAAACAATAGTTACGAAACCTCTTTATCAAATTCTTCCTCATTTTCCATCCAAAGGTATTCAGAAAAGTCACTCTCTTCTGTCCCTTGTACGTCAATTTCAGAATCAAAATTATTATCCATGTAAGAGATAATCCCTGTTTCATTTCCATAATCGTTCCCCGAACGATTGTTTGGAATCTTCATTTTCATTCCAAATATGTGTTTAACAATACAGTGAATAATCTATAAACAACATAAATAACTTTTAAATTTTACATACATAGTAAATATTTATATACTAACACTTACTGAAATTTAGTAATTATTAATATTATTTAAATAAATTTATTATCAATATATTTCTCATCTAGATGAAGTATATAACATTTAAAAGTTATAAAATGTGTAAGGAAAAGAACCTTGAACTCTCTTATACGAATGAAGCTTATGAACGAAACAAATATACAATAGCACCGTTTACACATATGGTACCACCGACTATGAAATTACATTTTTTTGTTTTAAAAAGTGGTTAGCCTTTATATTTACTTTAAGTTTATCGTCGAATACGTTGACAACTAAAAATTTGGAATTATGTTATTTATTGCATCGTAGCAATCGAATGCGGTAAAATATCGCTTGACAGATCTGTTACAAGGCGACCATTTTTAACTGTCTACTTTTAGTATCGACAAAGCAATATTTATTAATCTTTATTCATAATTATACCATGTAATTGTTATTATTATAAAAAGAGATGATACTCTAGCAAACGTAAAGTGTAAACATACCTTTTAATGATGTGATTTCGGACAATTTGTGATAGAAAACACGATTTACGCAGTTCATGGGTAAAATACGTGTCGTGCAACACAAATTAACCCTTGAAGTAATACTGGGATGGTGCTGCCACCACATATAAAAAGAGCAATGCACTTTGTGCTCTAAAACTTGATAAATACATATTCTTTTCATAATTGATTTTGATCGAAACATTTAGATGATTAGTCATGTATAATCAAATCTTAAATATTTCATTAATTTATATTTCTACATTTTGAATAATTTCTAAAGAATTTACTATGATTTCAATGAAATTGAAGCGTACAGACTATACACAAGAATAATTTTATTCTTTTAACGAATAAAATATCAATATCATAAATTATTTTATAAAACTCAAGAATTTTCTAAATATCATACATGTTTTATATTTGTGAACCTTTGTTTTCATATATGTTGTATTCCATGAATGAAAAATAAATAAAGAAAAATAAATTTTTACTATCATATGATACTATCTTTAGTGAATACATAAACAAAAAATTATTAGATTTTGAATATTCAATTTTAAGAAAATGTAGGGTGTGCTACCAATTTTAAGCAACTAAATTCAAATTAACATTTTTCAATTTCAAATATAATAAAACAAATTATTTTGTTAATTTGTATTTTTTAGCAATGGCATCTTTCAAATATTCATTTTGAAGTTTTATTAGCAAATAAGATACTTGGAACGTGTATCGAGTCACGTAGTTTAAGAACCTATCATGGTCATTGGCACTATTCTTGTTTTGACTCACATAGTGTATTTACATTGAAGCGCGTGTCGCGTGATTGGTCAGCTTCCCTGACGTGCGTATGTTGACGTTTCATCAAAACAAAGCACAGTCGCGCGTCTCACTGAGCATTTTACGGTTGTATTTCGTTGCGAATGTGTCGTTTCTGCGCTAACGTGTTTCGCGAAAGTGTTAGTTGATTGTTCGTGCGTGCATTATCGGCTTCTAAGTGATCAAGTGCATGGGCTGTAATGTCGTCCACCGTAAAATTTACTTCGGACGAGATTCTGGGTGGTAAGTGGAGATTCGTTTCTTCGAACGACGCGAGCAGCTGTCAATCGAACATTGCGGCCATTTCGCATGTCGCGGCTGACGCATAAACAAATGTATATTGCTTTCTTTTACATTATAGGCATATTTGTTTGTAAGAACGTATGTTTAAAACATTTTTTACAACAATTTATGCTGTAGTTAATATAATGTAATACAAGTTTCAAAAATGTTGATACGATTATTTGTTTCTCTCTAACTTGTGAATTCTCTGTTGTATTGCAAACTATTAGTTCTGGCTAAAGATATAGTGCGAGTCAATGGTTTAAAATGTTACGATCTTTACTTGGAGTAAACGTTCGGAATTTTTTTTCTTTATTCAAAATTATTTGTTATTAATTGATACAAATTTTATAGTTGGATCTTCAGACTTCTGAATAGGTGATTAATTTTCATGTGTACATATGTATATATATCTTAGTTCAATTTTCGATAATTTTCAACTTGTATAGTTGGAAGTAAAACAGTAAAATTTAAATAAAATGTTACTTCTAGAAAGAACTTAGACATTAAATTCTATTCTAGACTATGTTAGGCAAGATACATACTTAAACGTAATTTTATTTATGATTAAACACAAACATTAAACACAGTTTAACCGTATCTGAAAATATATTTCATATTTAAAAATATTTAACAATATAAAAAAATCCTATAAGAATCTTAGAATTTCATATAAGAAATTTATTTTGCTCCATAAATAATTAGGACTTTTTAATGATCATGTTTATGTTGATAAATCTTAGAATAACTCTTGTCATCAATTATGACTACATTAACGGGATCTGAAATTCAAAATTATTATTTCATCGATGTTTTGTAAAAAAGTGACTATAAGTGACTACTTTTTGTCGTTGAATCACGTAATAGACAATTAGGTTAGTGTTCTATAAATGCTTGAACCGTTTGGTTCATCTAAAAAGGCTCCTAGAATGTAGTAGTTGACTAAGTTCAAGGACATTTTTAGTCCACATGTTCTCTTTCTCATATCACTGCCTCCTATACAGAATCTTCCATAAAAATCGAAAAAAATTTCAAAGAAATGAACGCGATCTATGTCAGGGAAGCGTCATCCAATCGTTATTATTGTGAGGTTATGTTTCTTTGCGTTGGACGGTCAACAGGTATCCCTGTGTATAATTGGAAAGGAATAGGAGTGGTTGTAACAAATATAGCGGTTGTAGGTTAAATTTAGCATCCACGAGACGACTGAATGCAAACCGGACGCTGATGCATCAGTTGTAATCACATTCTGACAAAACAGTCCTTTCTAGGAAGATAGTCAAGGGGCTACTAGATGGTATTTATACGTGATGTTGTTATTCAGGAGCGTAGCCGCGTCATCATTTGGATGTCTCGTTCCTCGAAGAAGGCTGACCTTAGATAGCCTGACATTAACAGGTAACATTTTGAAACGTGATTTAGTTCACGAACTCCTCGTACCCACGCCCCTACAGTGGTAAACGTGACCGAAGTCATGCACCTATATCAGCCACGTACCTCTAAGCAAGACGATTGGCGTCCCTCGATCTTTTGTGTCTACATTTTTTTTGCCTTTTGCTTTCTCGTTTATAGTTAAAAATATGACATTGGCTTGAATAGTCAACTAAGCCGGAACTTTTTATGAAATTTTTTATTGGATCGCGTTAATACGTTTGAAAGAACCGGGTCATTTGAATATTCGCGGGAAAGGAATATTCGAGAATACAGATGGCCTTCATATAGCACAGATAGGTTATAGTTACATGGATTTCACGTAAATGTTATATTTTACCCTCAAATAAAAAATAGAGTTTTAAAATAAAAATTTCAAAAACGATTTCTTAAAGAAAGTAGTTTATTTTTATATAAATAAACAAATATTTATTTATTTTAGCTACGTGCATGCACCAAAATTTGTTATAAAATTAATAAAACTGATTCATGAAAAATGCACAGAATTCAAAATTGCATAAGATTGACAATTCATATCCAAGTAAGTATGACCGCTCCATTTTATCTAAGAATTGGCTATAATTTATAAATTGCGTTTTATGCGGGTTTTTTGTACATATATTCGAAATATTCGCAGGTATGTATATATAGTGACAGCAAAATTTGCATATTCGCATCAATTTACGAAATTTTTGCAGTGATATTTTATGCCATTTTATTGGATACAGTATTATTGGCAATAAACAATATACTCACCGTTGGATAATGAAGAAGCATTTTTGTTATTTATCTTAGAAGAGGAAGATAATTCCAGTTTTATAGCTTTTTGTAATGAGGTATAAAATATTTTAATTTTTTATATCATTGACAAAACGAATGATTTTTAGCGGTTCTATTTATTTTGCTACGCTTATCATTTTTTTATTTTTTTATTTTTTGTAGCGAAGCGCAAATTCTTCGAAGAGAGAATTAAATTTATTGTGGGATACAAAACGCAGCAATACGACAGCTTCATTGGAAATTTTTCTAATGGTTTGAATAAATATATAATCTACATTCATTGTAGTGCCACGAAATATGTACTCGCTGCTGCTATGAATATTTCGTGATAGTCTGAGGAACTCTTATATCAATTTATTTATCTACGAATATCGTGTTCGTAAAGAAATCTTTATTTGCTCTGCGTTGTGTCACGCGAGCATCATGAGTCGGGAGAAAAAGAAACAGCGTTTCGTTTCTTATGTTAAGTTTTCCTGAGCGTCCATTTTGCACGGAAGGATATTTAAAGCCGAGATTAAGAGACCGTTCGTATCGTCATCCCCGGGACGGTTGATTAAAATGACGGACCGATGAAAAGGGGTCACATTTGTGCCTATTTTTAACCGTAAGGCTTGTTGGCGAACATTTAATTCAATTCATTAAGGCCACCTACCCGTCGTGATTTCGTGACACGTGACGATGCTTCCTTTTTGTCTGTTACTCTCGCCTGTATCAACGGAATCCCTTCACAAATTCTTACTGACGTATGATTAGTTCGAATGATATATTTCGTAAATTATTATATTAAGCGGCGATGCGGTCGATGCCGAAATAACGCCGTTAAAGCCGCAGCCGCTTAGGATCTTCTGTAGTTTATAGTTCTAGATATTTAACGCTGAGCAATGAAACGGAAAAGAACTTGATTAATTTTCACTTTCAACTTACTTCGTTAACACACCACTTACTGCTAATTTACAGCCATTAAATTTTGTCGAATATCTCGAATACTTAAAAGAACAGACATTTTGTGAAGAATTCCATCGTCAGGAGTATAACCCAATAACAACGGGAGAACCCATTTCAAATTGGACGACACTGATTGACGTTTGAGCATTTTATCATCCTCCAAGTATCTCGAAGCACTGTTTAGGAAGTTGGAATGTGGTTTTAGGTTCTATCACTTTTTACGTGTACCCTAGATCATTTGAATCAACCATTAGTAAATGGTTCACTTCTTAATATTTCTCTCTCAAAAATTAGTTCATTCAGTGTGTCAAATAGTCCAGAGAATATTCACGAAATTTGTATAATTAATTATAAAGCTTGACTAAACCTATCACAGTAACTTCAGTGATTCTCGTCAGTGACTCTTGATTAAACTCTCTCGCCTTACGGGGGTCGAAGAATGGTGCTTAGCGCCATGAGATCACCAAAATGAATAAAGTTTTCAAACTATTGGAGAAACGAAACGTTTTAGCCAGTCAAATATTACCGCGTCGAGTGGCCTACTGCGCTGACCAACTGCGCGATTAGGCTATTCGCGCGCTTGGCAATTATCCGCGGTGATTAAGAAATTTTCGTGTGGACACACTCAACTGTAAATTAATTCATCGAGGTATTTTATTTTTCCCCAGGTTACATTGTTTACAAAAGGATATCACAAAAATTCAATCGATTGTTTGACACGATACACGAATACGTGGGACGTAAAATGCTGCATGGAATAAAGCCAATAATCGAATATATGTGCAACCACGTCGAGGAGTCAACCGTAAAGACCCGTGCGAACTTTGCTTATCACGTTTCAACTTAACGCAGCCCGCAATCGTAAACCTCACAATGTGTCGCGATTCGCTACAAAAAATACCGCATATTTTGTAAACTCTTCATTTGCCGTTTACTTTATCATTCATGGACCTCTCACGCTTTGTACATTTTTATCTATATTGTAATACCAAATCGTGTAATTTCATTCCTTTTCAACATTACCAGATCTTTACAAAGTTGATACGCAAGGAATTATTTTAAACTTATTTATATTGACTTAAATATTTATTTAAACATAATTTAGACGGATATACGTTGGTGACGCGTTACTTTCATTTTGCATTGCAAATAATATGCACTTCGCTTTGGATGCAATTAGTATATGTAAATGATTAAGTTCTTTGGTAGTTCCGTGAGCTCTGTTGTTGCCATTTTTTGAAAAACGATTTATTCTCTAATTGCACAGCATTTTCGGAAAAATTGATCACTGGATTACCGAGAACTCGATACATCGCCTTCGATAAAGTCACTTGGTTTAAAGTTTCGGTGTATACAATTACTATCAATATTCAGCGTAATTGAACGTGTTTGTACAGAGATGTTTGCGCATGAAAATATTGAGAAGAGAACGAGAGAGTCTGGGAGACACGGCAAAAGTCGCGTTGTTTTCTGCGTACAATGCGACTGCATCGGGTATGCATTCACAAAGTCAACACGTGTGGCCTTGTTGTACATGTGTCCGTTTCGATTAAACAGAATCTAGCTTCTTTTGAACCTGTCTTGTCAAATGAAGTCGATCGATCCGCCGCTTCTTGCCTTTTATACTTGTCTTCTATGGCACCTTGAAAGGTAACCGAAAGAAATTTTGAACCTTGGGTGGTTCTTAGATGGTATGTAATGTCGTATATCGAGAAAAATAACATAATTTTATTCTTCCACAGCCAAGCAACGATTCTTATACAATTTCTTTCTTTTTTCCAGTCTGAGACTAGCTAACTTGTATTTCGCTTGAATCTGCTGTCTAATGAAGTTCGATAACTCCACCAGTTGACGTAATTTGGTCATATTTATTCGTATCAGGTCACGAGAATATACATAGCGACAGTTCTCTATGTCGCGAAGAGCTACTTTATTCTTGAAACACGATTTAGCCAACATTTTTCGGCTCGTGGACACGAGAATTTTGATTTTATCGAATTATAATCGTGGCATTTGAAGCTTATGTACGAATATGCCTGAACATTGCCGAAAAAAACACGAAAGGGAAACAATCGTCGATTAATTTGGTGTACTGATCGAAAATTACATTTACGGAGAAGCTTCAGTTGTACACGAAGTTATCGTTATGCTTATCATTAGCGATAGCATGCATTTATTTACGTTGAGTTTATTATACGCGCATACGCTTATGTATGCCGCGGCTTATCGTACCTCACACGACTGTGCATAAAGTTAATATAACGAAGTAGTAAATGATGTCATTCGATGACCCCCAGTTTGTTACTCATTTTCACTTCGATATGTAATTGAGCAAACGCTTAAAAATCGTGTCGTTGAATCGATTTATCATCGCAAATCATTTGATTTGCGTAGATACTAAAAGATCTCTTCAATATATTTCGCGAAGAAATTTTTCTTCATATTGATCATGCTATTCGGTATCACCAATTTTCTGTAAATTAAATATAAAGTTCTTTGCTTGTATATCGAATAATATGAATAATATATCAAGTTTTCGGTGGAACGCGCAGAGTGATAAACAAATTCTCCGATTAAAAGGTTAAGGATATAGATGTATTTTTTAGTATTTAAACGTTCCGTTGATTAAATGCTTGTTTCTTTTAATTCTTTTCTTAATTCATGTCCATAAATAGCTGGCCACGTTAATAGATCTGATGCGATAGTGCCAAAAGCATTTTAGTATTTTCTTCTTTTATTTATCTTTAAATTGTACGTATGAGTAATGTTCCCAATTTTGTACGATTGTAGTAGATCGGTCAACTTTCTATGCCGTATTACATAGCTATGCAATGTGGTACAAGAAAAGTGATATGCAATGCGTTTCATTAGTTAATGATGAGTAGAGTACATTGTGCAATTTCGTAAATCGTTAGCAATTTTCTTTTGCTATTACAGCTGAACTTCAATTAACCATGAAAATCGTTTACATATACCTAATGAGAGGACTTGGATTACAGTATTAAATCGATGCTTTGCTGTAATTGCCCAGCATTGCGAGATGCGATTGCGTTATCCGAGAGAAGGCGTTCCTGTAATTTGTTTAATCGGTACAGGCGGAAATACGGATGTTGAATAGGATCTTCTCTGCTCTTTGGAAACTTACGGAGACTGCATTAAGCTATTCTAACACAATAGAATAATGATGTAAAACTCCCACAGAAACATGACTACAAAGTGTAGATGATTTTGAACCACAAACGAAAAATCTACTAACAAACAAAATGTTAACGTACAAGGGAAGAGTCATTTGTGCATATTTTTATTACATCTTAATTTTAGCCTTTACATTTACATCTTTCTTAACGAATTTACAAAGATCTTAAAAAGGTATCATTATTAAATATTCTCATTTTAGTGAAATCAGTTTGGAGCTTTGGTCCACGAGTTGCATTCTTGTAGGCCGCACGTTTAACACCACTGGAATGAAACACGCATTTGAAAGAAGGTTAATGGAAAAAGAGGACAAAGATGTTTAACATTAGACTCTGGAGGCTGTGCAATTGGTCGTTAAACTCGTCGTGTAATAGTAGCTGCTTGTGTATCTTACTCTCTAATGTCTTACTACAGTATGTACAGTCTAAAATGCAAAAATTTATGAAACAATCGTAAGGCAGTTTTCACTTTTGTGAAAGCCGCGATTTTCTAACCAGGAAACGGTTGTCTCGCATCAAGTATCGCTAGTCGATAATTTTCTTTTTGATTGGAAACTTCTTGAAATCGTTGCAGTGATGAAGTATGGGAAATTTGCGTATCGGATGGACGCCTGTTTTTTCTTCGTACAAAGACATCAATAGGAAGCAAAAGAACAACGATGATTCATCAAACGTCGGATATCACACGAGAATATTTCCCGGTTCTGTCATGCACGTGACATCGCCGGCTAGTCGCGTATAAGTTGGACGAGAAACATGGAAGAATAGCGAATAACGAATATACGACATCGCGTGCTGATAATTATTCTGAATATTCCCGTGTGTACTTTTTTACAAGTTTATTCCAGACGGTTTAGAATTAAACGAACTTTTTCACCTTTGCCAACTTTGAAGAGAGATAGAAAAGGGGAGCAGAAAAATACAAATTTAGAACTTGGTCGAAAACAAACGTGCAATCTCTTCGTTTTGCGTTTCAGGGAAATATTCCGTCTTTGTGCGAGTACACACGACTCTCGCACCTCGTTGCTTTTAATACGGAAGTAGCGTTGATGGATTTGCAAACAATGAAGTTGCCCCCAAAAGACACCGCTGACACGTCCACTTCGATAATGGCTGATAAGAAATTCTACGACGCTTTTCATGAGGAAAGACAGGATAGGTTCTCTATCCTGTCTCTGTCGAGTCAATCGTATAATCGTGTTCTCTAGTGACGCAATGTATTATGCGATTGCAGCGTGAAGAGTTAACGGACCTTGGCCATGAACCTTCTTGATAATCGACTCAATCATTGCTCGATAATGCTAACGTTCGATCGTGTTTTACGTTTCTGTGAACGCTTTGGAATTCTCAGGTGCTCTTCTTTTTCCCAGGAAATTCTGTTTCCTTTGCTTTTATTACGAGAGTACACGTTTCGATCCAGGCATTTCATTTTACGATCGGTGTTCTGCTTTTAGTCTTGTACGCTATTGTCAAGAATGTAGTGCGTTATGAAAACGAACGTTATATCAGTATCTGTGCAAGAATCACGTTGCATCTCTGTGATCGATGCAGGGACACGTGTTTCACCGCAAATGAGGTATAAGTTTTTGGTTTGGTACTATATTGCAAGAAGTAGCACTTGAAATTTAATACCAATCATTAAGGTTAAGCTTGGCTAGGATACTGTGCATAGGTTTCATTTATGATTTAATATATTGTGGATTGAGTAAAATTAAATTTAGATGAATGACCAGAGTCAATGTTTATTAAGAATTCGTCAAGTTTGTTTAGGTTGGTAGTTTTCGTCTACTGTAGTCACAGCGTCGAATCGCTATGATTAAATCGGCGATGTTTCTAGTGCGAAGTTTCAGTGATAAATGAGCCTGAGCAGCTATTTGTTCTTCCTTATATACCCAGCAGTTGGCACAGAGGTATCGCACGAAAGCACACGATCATTGCCGATCTTGTAAAGCTAATTCCTTTACTATAATATCCTATGTTTATTCATTTTTACGCTATTGTATATTCACATTTTTGGCAATTTGTTACAACGACGAGTATAATAATTTATATGGTTTTTTAGAAATTGAAATTACTAATTTTCGATGTAAAGCAATATTGAAATATTCCTATTACCTTTTGAAGGTAAGAGTGAGTACATAGCAATTAAAAATCAGGTTAATTAGCGGTCATCAATCGGGGATAAGCCACTATAGGTACACATACAAATCCTGATGCTTGGAAAATTAAACCTTCAAGAGAAAAAGAATGATATACTATCTTAATGGTAATCTATGGATTTAGAAATTATACTATAGACTTCTAGTCTTTCTTGATGCTTATTAGCTATTAAGTGTACAAATGTTCGATCGTTATTCATTCCATGAATTTATTATACTTACATTTAATTATTTTTACAGAATCATGGGTTGAATTGAATCCTGTCCCCGACAGGATAACACCATTACCGTTCAGCAGTGGCGGAGAAGAATATTTACGACTTCTTAGGGAAGCGCAAAGGGATTCTCTACCCTCGTCTGCTAAGCATTCTTTGGCATCTTCTCGTCGAGGCACGCCTCGAGATAGGTAAGGCATTTGCTTTGTTAAATCTGCTATTGTCACTGAACATTTTCCCAACATTCAGTCCTTTACTTTCTATTAGTAATCGCATACGTTAACATTAGCTGTTCGCTATTTTCATGCGAGATCAGAGAGGACATCTTGAAACATCACAGATTATTTACTTTACAGCTATTGTCGGTGAGAATTCTTAGAATTCATTGCGTAGTTCAGACAAGTGTCTAAGAATTGATTTTTCCAAATTTTCCACTCCCATCGGATGATATCTAATCTAATCTAACAAATACCACCCAATGTGTAAGTGGAGTAAATTTGTAACGAGAAGAATGATCTGAAAAAATCATGAGTACATCGAAACGCTACTCTCACGAATCTTTTTTCTGGAAAAGTAAATCCGACCAGTCTGCGTTTGGGTTCTCGAGAAGGGCCATTAGAAGAAGCCGGGTTTGTCTTGTTCCTCGTGTACGAGCACGAAGGAACTGCTGAAGGAAGGAAAAAAAGAAAATTATAAGCGCTAGCATGAGTCAGATGCCGGTTTGGTGGAAAGCGAGGGAGGAATCTTTTTCTGGCCGGTTTCTTTGTGCTCGTAGGCGTTGAAACGTCTCAAGGACCGGTGGATGAAAGAAGAAGGAAGAAGCAAACAACACCGTACACTCATCGTGTCTGTGAACTGTCCGTACAAGTGACTTATTCAGATCTTTTTTTATCCTCGTTTTATCCAGTCTGGAGTTTTTTTAGATATTCGGTGCGAGAGAGATGTAGAATTGTCTTTAAATGATTTAGCAGTATTTGCATAATCCGAGAGTAAATACAGCTATAGGAGTTTATCAAGAAAGTACACATGTATCGTGTATTTACATTACGTATTTACATTGCAAATTTCTAACCTTATTCCGAATCTCTCGCTATCTGATTGACGCTCGAGATTATTAGGTCTAACGACGCAGTTCTTCGGCCATATTTTCCGAATACAAACGAGATAACGCGTTTTTCCAAGGCTGCGTGTTTCAGTAGCTTGACAGTTTATCAACACCAGTTTTAGTTCCAAAAACGTCACCCTGCAACGCACTTTCCACGATCGATCAACGCCGCGGATTAAACGGCGCAATGAACTCTACGAACAAACTTTATTTCGTATATTTCATTGCTCGGGAATCACTGAATCATAAAATTAGATGATAATACGTCGTTGTTTCTTACCATTCGCGATCGTAGTGCAGATGTTCGATGAGGTCATCTATTATCATTTGTAGTTCCGCATGGAAGATGAGAAAAAAATATCGTACGATGCGGAGGTCATATGATACAAAGTTGATGCTCGCTGGTGTAGTTTCTGATAAGAGGAGTGACACTTGAAACGGGTTGCGATTCTTGTCGTTTCTCCGATTTCCCAATCGGATAAGAATCCGTTCAGCCATCGAAATTTTGAAATGTTCAGGGAGAATTTGAGTAATTGGCGAATTGCAAAAAAAAAAAAATGTGTAAAATTTGTGAAATCTTCTATTACAGTCCGAAGAGTCCGCCGAACAGCCCAAATACAGAACTATCAACTGAAGATGAGCTCAAGGGAGTCTATATAAATTACTGCTGCAACAAGGTCAGTTTCATAATCGATTTCTAATATCGTATGCCTGTATGATACACCACCACAAAGAATTTTACTCATTCGTATTTCTTTCGTTGAAGAATTGTTCGTGGTCTGTGTATCTATCAGACTACGGCTACCGCAAAATCAAACCGATTGGTTGTTATTAATCGTCTATTTAGGTACGCGCAGAAGCTGAATCATATGGTTTTAAACATCTCATTTTAGAAATGATACGGTGCAAGAAAATTATATTACTACATTCATCTGGTCGTTGTTCCATTTTCTCAGTGGCGCATGCTCAAGCGAAGTATACTTCAGAGGAGGCTATGCAACTGGTTTTATCGAACGAAACAAAGCCGAGACCACACTTTCTATGCAAGGTCTGCAGATCACTGACTCTTCTAGTGGCGTGCCCCTTCTAGTGTGCATTGTGGGTCGTAGAACACGTGTGTGGAGCGAGTCGCGAAGAGTCGCATGCTTTCGTGGGCGTAGAACGCCGAGCCTCTTTGCAATCACGACATTGGCAAACATAATTGTAAAACGTATTACACAAAAGTTGTAGATCGTTTGCATTGTTCGATAACGATTCCATCGTTTCGTTTATCCTGACTTGTTTATCTAACCGATATGGAAATCAATAAGCCTATATTCAAACCAGCCTGATAGCGATATCAGGATCGTTGTTTACTCATGGATTATGTGCCATGGTTTATTTATTCATTTCGGCAAGGAGTCTTCGTTAAAAAAGAGCTACTGAGTCCTTACCTCGCTATGGTACATTGCCTCCAATTACGTTTAACTCGTTAGAAAATATAGTTAACGGACCAGCTATAGACAGCAATTCGTTCTTAAGATGTCCAGTATGTTTACTATTATCACCGATAAGGTGAAGTAATATCGCACAATTTATTATAAAAAGGTGACTGCTACAATGAAAATAACGACGAAGACAATCGTACGATGAGGTAGAATGTGCGAGGTCGATAACAAACCGTGAAGAAGTGAAGATTTTCCATGAGTCAGTTGCTCAACCATGTTTTCAACTGAACGCAAATTCCTTTGTGTCTTTATAAAGGCAAGGTCTTGGAAAGCAAGGCAGCGTTGTGTCTTCTTTGAGAATCCACGGTTTCTCGTTTCAACCGCTTAGATAATGCATTAAAAATAGAATATCTTAACAAGCTTCTGTTTTCCTGACTGTAGACGTTATCTTCGACGCGACATTCTTTTTTTTTTCACCCTATTCTTCTTCTTTGCTCGTTCTATGACCGATGAATGTGACGATTTATTCGTCGTATCATCTTCGTCACCTTATTTCAAACAATTACGTTAAAGCGTGACAAAATCAATACGAATGAACGGCCCTGATATTCAAAGTTACGAAAAAAAGCAAACGTGCCTGCTAATCGATTCTGAGTCGTCAAATCGTGACCCGATATACACTGCGCATTATCTATAATCATAGACGTGCGTTCGCGCATCGTTACACCTATCGTAGTCCACTTACCGACCAAGGATACCCGGATTCGAGGCTCTATAGTTTCGTACTTTCGCAGCTACGTACCACCGTGCGGAGACCTTGGCAAACTTTTCAGCGCGTCGTTATCGATCTTAGTATCGAAGAAAAGGCACTTGCAAACGCGCCATAAAGGAGAAAATAGTGGCAGTTCTAATATGGCGTCGGTTGAGTCGAATCGAGCGAAATAAGCGGGAAAAAAATTCCATGCTTTTACCGAAGGAAGGAACACACGGGTATATCGTTTTACCGTGCTAGTTCGTTCACCTGCATTTGTGTTTATTGGTGTTACGCGCGTGTTCCTCCGTTACGGCGGACAGATCACGCGATCGCGAACGAGCGAATCGCCGCTCTCTACGTTTACGCTTCTCATCTCGAACAGAAACCGGTCCTCCCGCGGTGTATATTGCATTCGAGAAACGGGTTCGACTTCGCGGCGACTTGGCGAAGAGGAAGACGAGAAGAAAGAAGGGATACCCGATATACCTGATGCACGATGCATTACGCTTGTATAGGATCAAGTCGACCGGCCGTTATGCTCATTCCAACTGAACGCATTCGCACTGTTCCGTGGAATGTGGTAAACACAATTAACGGTGGACGATCATATGTTAGGTTAGAATGCAATTCTAAATCTTTGCTAGCGGTATACGGTTAGAATTATTTACTCTGCGTACATTTTATTACTCGTGTTCGACCGTTCGTATAAATAATTCCATAGAAAGTTTGCGTGGCGAGCTTTCAGGAAATATATCGAGGAAACGCGGCGTGAAAAGGTAGAGTTCGTGATAGAAATTTCTTTCCTGCCTGTTACGTGAGCAACTTCACGTGCCTGGCGCTCTTTACTCGTAATTCGTTTGAAGAAATTACGATTTCTAGTAACATTATTTTCACGTCGTTCCCCGAATCGTTACTAAAACGAAATTCTGAAAAGCTTCGAATTTATTTTTTTAATTTCATCGCAGAGAAAATTGCCGGTGAGCTTCACATACCAAATAATCAATAGTGACCATTTCGTACGTCTAGCACGAAACGGCAAGTGTTACTTTCAGCATACCAATCCGGCTTCTGAACCACACACCTTTCATACTAATAGTTTATTTATATTTCTACTCTCATTTATTGTGCACACGAGCAGCATCCATTCCGTTTGCTAAAGTTTGTCTTTTTAACCTGCGTCCTATTTCGTGAAATAACTCTGCTCGTGCTATGCTGGAATACCAACGGTTTAGTCGTGATATTCGATCATTTTCTATCGACTTCTATCGGCTTCTAAAGTTTCCGCAGGGCAACTAACTTTTAATGGGGAGCAAATTAGATTCCGATTTGATCTTCTAAGAGATTGCCTAAGAGTTCCCGGCGGTTATATTCAGGAGAATCATCCCTAAACGCTATAAGACGATATAAATCAATGATTAATTGCTCCAATAATTGATTACCTGTCTCACACTTGCTTGAAACATATTTGAGAGATTAAGGGATCAATCACACCAAGAAAAGTGAGCCTAAAGGAGAATGTATACTAATTTGGTGATCGTTCTTGTGTCAGATTTAATGGGTAATGGTATGAAGTAAATGGCTAATTTCAGTCTTCGAGGTGAAGCAATTCTCGTTGCGTACCTCAACGAAATTAGATGACCGTATTTCTTTAGTTTTTTAAAACGTTTTATCGATATAATTTTTGTTTTAATTCTTCCATTCTTGTAAATTCTGACTGACGTATAGATCGCTACAGCAAGATGCATCATAAATAAATTGCGCCTGGGAACTGGTATACGTTTTATAACAAAAATCTGATAATTTTTTCCTTCGGCAATCAACAATGTTACGACTGAATAATAATAGCAGATTGTATTAATTCAAGTTACAATCTAACCGATTAGTCAGCAAAAAAAGAAGCGATCATTTAGATTACCGGAGTGGAGCAAAGGATCGTGCTAACGATCACGTACACCACCCTGTACGACTTTGCAAAGATGTCTGTTGTCTGTTATACGTATGATCTCTGTCACGTATCCGACAAGGCGTGGACTAGAGGTTGAAAGCATTTTTGATAACTCGTGTTTGCAACAAACAAAGAAAAGATGCCCTGTCCTGATGAACCTCGACAAAGAAGTTCATTCGGCCGGATGATTTTTTTCTAAAAATATATCCAATCTCGAAATACAAATTACCCTTTGCACTCGGCTGTCCGCTCCCAGTGGACATCGTAATCTACCAAACTCGAATATCCCTTGCAAGGGGACACGGAAAGGTTACTGGTATTTATATATATAGGTCAAATTATGCAAGGTAAAAATTAAAATTTCTACAAAATATTTTTTTTGATAATGTGTTAAATCGACTATCATTGGAATAAATTAATTGGTTGCAACGTTTATACCGTTTTATTTCTAGCGATTTAATTTCCGAATCCAGAGGGCTAAAGTAAAGCTGGCTCTTTTTAAATTCCCGCCAAGTGGATACGAAAGTATGAACACAGTCGAGACATAAAGTAATGGAGCTATATACAGAAAGTGCAGCTCGTCATTGACCCGCTGCAGGCTGCACTGTGGAGCTACATGGTGAAATGTCGTTGCAAGCGACTAGGGGTTTCCTCGTTGAATGAGCCCGAAACACGCCGGTAGTGGACGTAATTCCCGGTTATTACGTTCGCGAAAGGGAGGTAAGGGACGCAACGAAGAAAGAAACTCACGGGCATTTGTGGCAGGAAAAGAGCGAGACGATGCATAGACTGCTTTTCAACGGAGTTGTTAGTGGTCGTAAACCAATTTGAAACTATCCTGAGATAACTAGGCGCGATATCGCATAAGTTTGTCAGGCCTGGCTAGTGCTTTACGGTAGCCATTTGCTGAGGACGAAATACGCGTGGCCTACTTTTACAATCGCACTCTTGGTATCGATCTTTCCTGCGTCTCGAGCTTGCATCTTCGGTATCACTGTTGGCAGTATAAATACACGAATTTTTATCTACACGGGTATTTACTTCGAAGAAGCTATGTAAAGCTGTTGCATTCAACGGGATCGATGTGTCCGTTAATTTGCGATCGATAGCAGACAGGTTGGAGTTCGGGAGACGCCCGGGGAACAATGGAACGTTTCCGTTTGATTCACGTTCTTAATTTTCAACGATTAAGTATTTATATATGCAAGAAGGCAACGGGAGAAACTGTGTTCAAGGATATCTTTCGCTGCTTCTTCGCGAATGCCCTGAATACCAAAGAGTATAGTGTCTTGACTTCGTCTAAACAGATAGGCTGCCAATTATTTACAAGTGTAAATAAATTAGATTTAAATTAATTTTCTTCTTTCCAATGTTGTAACGAAGATGTAATCTTTTATAATTCCAAGTTGTTACCTTGAACTAATAATGGTCGTGGTTTGGTTCATCGAGTTACATCAAATCGTGCGTGGGAAGATCTACTGTTTGATCGTTGATGCGATGATTTCTCGATAAAATCAACCGATGAGAATCCTTTTAAAGACAATTCCTCCCGAGTCGAAGGCTAGTTGTATTCATCATTCCTCCGTTCGCTTACGTGTCGCAATGTTTATTTAAAGTGCGTTGATCCCAAGAATTATGCTTAGAACGTGCGTGCAGCCCTTTCTGTATTTAGAATTCTTGTCGTGTTTTTTTTTTTTTTTTTATTATTTCTAAAATGGAGTTATGATGCATGGTGACCATTTACAAACTCTGGGCCAGTTCACAGCGGGATGTTTTATGTAGCCAGATGTTTTTTCAACATCCTCGAACTCTTTGTTTTTGTTTCTAGAGCAATAAAAAGATCAACGCGAAGATTTAACTTCTCTGAGCACAGAGAGTGGACCTTTGTAGCTCCAGTGGACCGCTCTAAATTAGTTCAGCAACTTTTGGAACCGATAAAAGTGATTTAAACGACTTTCAAGATTTTTTTTTCGATTTTCTTCGAGAATTTTCGATTCTGAACTTTGTTCGGATAAGATTGTTTTGGAACATAAATTTTTTTAGGATGACGCGCGCCTATTCGTAGCCGAATTTTATTACGCATTACATGAAACACTATTTCGAGAAATAGGACGCCCGGTGCTTGTTGAATGTGTTGACGAACTTGGCAAAAGGTTTGAATAAATTAGATCATGGTTAACAAACGTATAATATCGCGAAATACGTTTTTCAGCACTTTCTCGTCGGTTTTATGCGTTTCAACAATTTGGCGACGCTTGTCTGAAGTAACAAAACAAGTATGACTATCTGATCTCCAAATTTCTGTAATCGTGTGTCATTGCTCATATAAATTGCGTATCATTTATTTAAATTATTACATCAGTATGTCGTGTATTGGCTATTGCACTGTTTCATTATTCGATTTAATCCTTTTAATCCTCCTCAATTCTGTTTGACGCGTAAATATTTATCAGAGGAAAATTTTACCTACATAAATTTATACTTTATTTTTATTTTGTGTTTTGCAATGTACCCTGATCGATGCAGACATTATCACTGATAAAATTAAATTTTTAGTATACCGAAACGAACGACAGAAAGTTGACAATAAGCGACAAAGCAATAATTCATGCATCGTCCTGTTCATCGTGTCATTCATATTAATGATTCATACGATCGAATACACGAACAGCAAATCAGTTTTTAAAGACTGGAGGATTGTTTATAAACAAACGTACGCCTTGTTTGATACGCACTGCATATAACGTAACGAGTGAGACGACGCGACGATGGTTGTTGCTGTTAGCGTGATTGGCTGATTGCCAGTCGAGTTATCCTTGGGTGGTATTCTTCGAGTCATTCACAGATAAGTAGAACTTCTCTCGTGATGCAAGTACTGCTTCCTTTTTTGTTTCCTTTATCTCTCAACAATGACATGTCTTATTCACTCTTCGATGTAAATGTACTTTTTAATCGAAGCTAGAACTACTCGAGCACCCGAGTACAATGGGTACCTGTACGAAAAAAAGACAGCGACAATAAGAGACCATACTTCGTAATGTTTGACATTAATTAGAAGGTTCAGAAAACGTGTTTCGATAAAGAAACATTTTTCTATAAAGATATATTGAAATTTTTCTTTTTCGCAATCATGACTCGCACCAGTTCTGAAGTATAAAAGCATTCGATATAGTTATGCAAGGAATCGTGATTGATTTATAATGACTATCAGGTTCTTGTTCCGTGATAAGAATCTGATCTTGGTGATTTTTGTTTTGGCCTCGTCGAGTTAGACAGGCCTTGTAGTAGGCAACCAGCCATCTAGCTTTGCGGTGCTCGTGTAAAAATGCTCGTCCGGTAAACTGATACGTTACTTCAATTGACGGTCAACTTAGAAGTGTATCTTCAATTTCACCGGGTGATACAGGATCCATTTGTACTGTTTAAACACTTTTAAATCGGATTACCAGAGATTACGCTTAACTGCTGCGTAGTCAAGACGAAGTTCTTCAAACGAGCATCCTCGTACACGATCAAGGATTATGAGATTTAGCAGGTTTTTTAATTCTCCTTTCTTCTTTTTCTGTGCAGGAAACAGAGCTTTTGGAGAAGAACACAGATTGGATTTACGAATGGAGCTCGCGACCGGATCAAGCACCACCAAAGTATGAATAGATTCTAGTTTTAATGAAATGTTGAGTTCGATTACGACTAAAGTAGACAAATAAATAAGATATTCGATCGTAAGATATATGTAAATAGGATAGCAAATTGCTTATTGATCCTGTATTCTTTTATTTTAGAGACTGGAAGTTCAAACATCCTCAGGGAATGACCAAAAAAAAATCCTATAGCATTCGTACAACTAAAGTCGGCAAGGTTGGGTTGTTCTCAAAAGAGGTGCTTTATACTCTTTTCATTACGAACATTCTGTCTGTATTGGTTGGCGCTGGGCTAGGGTAAGCGAAACTACTTGGAATATATTTACATGTTTCTACTAAAAAAGCGACCACGACGATCGCTTTTGTAAACGATTCTGCTGTTGTTTTAGAGTTTGGTTGTCTAGGCGAGGATCGATAACATCCAGCGTGACCATCGAATGAAAAAGAACGGCTAAGTACACGAAAGTCAGGACTGCTGCGCTAGAGTTTGCGAGAAAACGGAGAAAGAATTTGGTCTGTGTTGAGCCGCTAGAAAGACTGAAGAACCGAGAAAAAGGGTCGATCGAGCCTAACAAAACACACAACATATTATTTCGATTACTACAATTTAATATTAGCACTTTCTATTCTATTCTTCCCTGCCCAAAAAAACTTAACGGTGTACTTATTGAATGCCGTGTTATTGTATAAGTCATATGCAATTTTATGCTTAGGCAAGAAAATGCTATAAAAAAAAAAAAAAAAAAAAGGAAAAAATATGATTTATATATCTAGTGTTGTTGAAGAAATAAGACATGTCCATTTTATACCGTTTCTAATGCGTTTCTATCAGCGATAGTTCGTAGGTATAGCTTGGATAGTATTTATCGATAATTATTATTACTCGTTAATTCAACAAGAAATAAAGATTTAAGAGTGTAACACATAAAGAATGTTTATGTAGGAAAAGGTACATCGTTTTGTGCATCGAAACGATTAGGAAGATGAAAATATGTATAAAAGAAAGATAAGACAGGAAAGATATTGCAATGAAAGAAGAGTCTGTATAGCTAAAGTTACATCTTCGTTTAAAGTGCGAATGTTTTGCTGTAATGCAATTTGTACATTCGTTGTTGGCATGAATTTGAAAAAGGTGTTTTTGCGAATTATTTAGAAGCGTTATTGTGATAAAGAGCAGTGCGTTGTATTTAATTAATAGAATTTCATTTTTTTTACAGAATTGTAAACAACGATTGATATGTTTTTATAACGTACAGTATGATATGATTGTTTAGGCAGGTGGTATGCTGATAATTTTCGTTCCGTTTTCATATTTTTTGATTTTGTAAAGTTAGATTCTAAAGGAGGTGTAAAAAAGTATAATACAGCATAGTCGTAGTTTTTTAAATTACCAATTTGTTACCAATTAAACACTGAATTGATATATAATCACCTGTTCAATGATATTTCTTTAGTTTTATATATTTGTGACATGCGTTTTGGACAATTGATTATTATTAGTAATTTTATATTTAACAATGTATAGGCTTTTAGCGAAAGATAAAGGTTTTAGAAAAGGTGATAAAAGAGAGACACGAAAATTAGGTAAAGCGCAACACTACAATTCGATGGATTTTATTTGTAATCCAAGAAATAATCTATACTCTCGCTTTTCAAGATCTTTGCGTCAATTTACGTTCTCCCTTTTTATTCATAAGTACATTGTTAATTCATAAATTTATACATTAAAAAATGTTACAGTTCTTTTGCAGAATTTATATAGGAGTCGGTTTTTTCGACGGCACAATGTGTGATTTGTATGGAACTATCACAAAATAAAAGACTCGATATTGATCGTATCGCGTTGACGATTTTTTAAGATTTATCGCGTTTTTCACAGGATATGAACATATATAAATAATATATATGTATATATATATACACACACGTATATATATATATATATATATATATACACACACCATGTATTAAGTGTAAGATGCTGTATATTACAAGATAAGGCGTATTCGATGTAAGTAGAACTTAGAAATGCAAGTTTTTTGTATTTTCAATATAATTCTATATATTATATATGCAAATTCTTGCTTTTGGAAACCTTTCAGAACTGAAGTTACATACGCATGATTAATATCGCTTTTGAAAACGTCCATTAAAATGTCGTCCATTATTTTCATTCGCTAAGATTACCAATCCTACAAAATGTTACTCCAACTAAAAAAATAGTAATTCCCTTCACGAAAAAATGAATATCCAGCGAAAAACCATTAATCTCTCATAACTTCGCACGATCAACGAAAAAGGACATAAGTATAACACAATAGGTTCAAACAAATCGACTTTCTTCGAGCATGACGGATAACTGTGAACATGCGAATATCAACGAGAAAAATGTAAAGATTTTCATCAGAATTCTCCCACTTGAGGAACCTTGCGAATCCTGCGCGAAAATTGACTCGGAACACAAAGTAATGAAATTTCTCTTATGCTTGAGATATTCATCCTAAATTGAACATTAAAAACGAAACAATTTCGTTCTGATCTTATGCAGAAGATCTTCATACGATGTCTACAGGAAATGCAACCGAATAGGATAGCTATATCAAGAAAATCATCTTACTGGTGTTTTCGAGCAGACGAAATTTTTAGCGACACTTCACAGGAAGAGATTTACCGTGTTACAGCTAAGGACCTTGTGTCGAAGTATAAAAAAAAATATTTTTCCTCCGCTTAATACCGTTCGAGACTTCCGGCATAGACCACCGAGCAAATTTTTTAAAGACAGGAAGCCTCAAACCGTATCGATTATAAACAGGAAGTGTGATCTAATATAGTTAGGAAACCACATTTAAGAATTTTAGGCGGTGTGAGTTGCGTCGTAATAGGTTATGGTCAAACGGGTTCCGGGAAGAGCTTTACCATAACCGGCCTTAGGAATAACTGGGAAGTAGGACTATGTCGAACATTTTACATTCTCGGTATTACGTTACAAACACAATGATAACATTCCTTTTCTCAGCACAGAGGCCTGGTCGTGCGACTTTTATCCCACATGTTTGCTGAGAAGGCGAACAGAAAGAAAGTCAGCCGAATAGAGTACCACGTCAGCTTTATCGAACTACATGGAAAAGAGGCCAAAGATTTATTGTCCTCTGGCACGGATAATAATAAAGTCAGGATAAATGAGCGAGAACCTTTCAAGGTGTTATAAGATATTTTACAAAATATTGCAAGGAGACATTTGATAGAATTTTAGTCAGAAAAATTCTAGGATATATCCGTGGTATGCGTGAATAGTGAAGAAGAAGGTTTGAAGAAAATTTTCGAAGGTGAATTCAGAAGATCGATCACGAAAGGATCGACTTATCCAGAGTCTCATTTAGCCACGTCTGTCATCACTATTCACGTGTCTAATACAAGTTTGATTACTTCATGGAGCACCGTAGCAGCAGCCAAAGTAATTATTTAGTTTGTGTTTCGTTTCTTCAAACTTTTTAAACCGTGAAATTGGGGGAATTGTAGAGCTTCGTGTCGTTGATTGGTTTCGTGATGCTTTAATTAGAAATTTAATTAACTTGTTAGATACATATCGTGGAAACAGCTGGTACAGGAACAGTAGGAAGGAATAATTGTTCGAAGACAGCCATGGATACTGGTTTGGGGAATTTAATGAAGACTGAGCTCGAGCAATTCTTTTCGTATGTAGGAAATTCAGGATCATCCGCTATTAATATGATACGCTCTAATAATTTGTTAAAAGTCCTGGGAAATACTTTTCCGATTTCGACTGTAATTCGGTGATTAAAAGAAGTTTGAAAGTTGAATCATATAATACTATTTAAACTTCAAATTATTTATTAATAACTAATGATGTAATTGTAATAGGTTTATATCTCATATTCGAATTACGAAGGAAGATCTCGACATCACGTTATCGACTTTAAGATTCACCCTAAAAATTGCAAAATTAAAACCACTCAGAATAAAAGAAGATGTAAAATATCGTGCAGATTTACTAGTGCATAGGCTTCAGAATGAAGTCAGTGCTTTGAAGAAAGAGCTAATGCTAAACGATATGTTTTTACATCAAGAAGCTCTGGTAAACATCTCGAAGTCTCGAGCGGAACAGATTAATCGGAGTATCCTTAATTTTTTAAATGACAAAATTTCGGATTTCACGCTGTTTAATGTATCTCAGGCTCAAGTATTACTAAAGAATATTAAGGATTTATATAACAGGTTGCATAGACTATGTTGTATATATGATAATATTAGCTTCAGTTTCTAAATTATCGAATCGCTAGGTTAACTGCCAAAGAACTCGAAGTGGAAAAATTAAAAGAGACGTACGAAAATTTGGTAAAAAGTGTGACAGAAGTTGGTTTATCAGAACGTTTACCTAAGGTATCTCAATTGAATATTTAATTTCGAATAAAATTCCTTATTTTGTATTAAATACGTCGTAGGGAAGCATGTTATCTACCGATGATCAAGTTAATAATCGGAAACGAGTTAAGAGATTGTCACAAGTTCTCCTCGAAGCCGAAGAAAGTAAAAGAGCCATAGGAAAAGAAGTTGGAATTTTAAATAAATCTAGTAGGCCAACATTTTTATCGGAACAATGTAATTTTATCGAACACGTATGAAAACGCTTTAATATTTAACATTGTATAGCGATAGGTCTAACTCTAGGACCCTACATAAATGAAATTAATCTTGACGAAAGATTAAAACAAAGCAAACGTTCAACAATGTCTAAACAAATTTTGAAAATTGATAGTCAGAGTATGATGACGGTTAGAATATATTTTATTACAATATATTTTTTTTTACATATTTTCATTTTTTAGTAATTTACGTTGTATTAAATAAGGTCCGGCAATTATTCCAATCATTTTTAAGAGAAGAACTAGAATTTACAAAACTTAAGAAGAAATTTGATGAAAATAAGAAGGTTCTTGCTACTGTTCGTCAGAGGTTTACAAACATGATTGATAATTATTTTCAGGTGTTTTGTAGTTTACTATTAATATTTAAAAAAAATGTTATCCAAAATGCTTGTTAATTAATTGGTGTTATCCGTTAGGCAAAAAGAAATTTAGATGATGCACGAGATAAACTTACCAAGTATCGACAAACTCGATACGTTTTGGAATTAGATAGTTGGGATGGACGTGAAGCTATATGCGAAATTGAAAAAACCATTGAGCGAGACATTTCATGTTACCAAAAAGTGCTAGCTAATTTAGAAAACGAAGTTAATGAGGTGCAATATGAAATTAGCACGTTAGTTAATCGAGATTTTGAAATGGGTTCAAAGTTAGAATCTGGTTTTTGCGAATATTGTAAAAGAAATGCCTTTTTATTACATTATACCGAAAAATCAATGAAAGCATTGTTGGCACCAGAAAAAGAATCCTTGGAAATAATTCGAAGCAAGTATAATAAGTTTCAACGTGCAATGTTACGTAAAACACAGGTAAATTCTTCAATTTAAATTCAAAATTGAGTATTTGAATTTGAACATTTAAATGAAAATATTTGGATTTAAATATTTAAATTCAAAACTAATAATGAATTAAAAATTTTTAAACTTACGTTTCTTTTTCTTATCAGGAAATAGAAAAGACAAAAAAAGTACGATTTGATTATGAAAAGAAGTGCTAATTTGTATCTAATGAAAATACTATCTCCTTAGCAATAAGTACTTATATTTAATAAATCAATAAACGCATTTTTGACTACTTTTAAAATTGATTTTATATTTAAAATATAAGCCGGAAATAATCATGAAAGTAAACCAAAGCCATCTACCAGCATCCTAATGAATTACGTGATTGGCATAGGGTAAACGTATTGACACTAACGAAATCATTTCCTCTGCTTAAAAATCACCGGTTATGATAGTTGTCTAATAATATAGTGAAAGTTGTAACATTTCAAAAAGTTTCTCCATATGTAAGGTAATTTATAGTCATTTGTGTTGTAATACGTTACGAGTAATTTCTGCATACTTGCAAAATTAGTTTAATACGTTTCTTTTTCCTGGCTTTGGTGTGATCTATTTTTTTGTGTCAAGAATGTGATAGTTTACTGTCCTAAATGACATTGATCGAATCGAAACGTAGTTTAAAATTTAGTAATCATTTACGTATTGTTTGTTTTGATTAATTTCTCTTCAAATACGATCAACTGCGTCTTTGTTACTAGGCATTATAATCTTTTTTGTATTATACTAAATTCGTGTCGTAAATCGATTTCTATAGAACAATAAATTTTGGTTGGAATATTAACGTACGAGTGACAAAAAAGAAAGGACTTGGGTGGCTTTAGCAATAGCAACAGTTTAAGATTTCGATATTCGGGGATCCTTGGTGAAATCGTTTTATCCGACTGTTAGTGTCACGTTACAGAATTGTAAACAGAAATCAGTTAACGGTTCGACAGCCGACGGACATAAATTCTGTCGGCTGTCAACTGCTGTGATTGTGAACAGTGTACGAAATATTCCGAGAAAATTGAAAATATATAATCATCAGTGACGCTGTGTTATTTGTTTCACAAATGGTTAAGTTTCCTTCGATTCGCGCGCAATCCAAGATGTTTTAATGTAAAGTGGAATTTGTATATTGTCTGATTTCATGAGAGATTTAGTGAGATATAAGTTGTATGTATTTAATGAAGGAGTGAGTATCTATGAATATTAACGAAGACTGACAGAGAATTCCTATAATGGCAAATAAAGAAAATCTAGTAAGTACTATTTACGTAAACTTTTTTATCGACCTTTTGATATTCGATGTCAATATATACCTATGATAGTTGGTGCAGACAGAAAAATTATTTGAGACGTTATTGCAAGAGGGGAACAAATATTTATTTGCCATGGATGACCTACGTAATAAATTTAGAAAAGATTCGTTTGAGTTCAAGAAGATATTATCCCATATAGATAGTTATTCGCGGGTGAGTTGGAAATATAAAAAATAATGTATATTTGTATTGATTGTTTATTCTTTTCTGAAATACAATATATCTTGCAGTGTAAGACACAATTAAGGGAGGATATGGAAGAATTCAAAGAAATGTATGATTATGATACTGTGGATGACATCATAGATGACGATGATACAGAGGAGGGTGATGAGATGGAATATATGCAGATAGAAATGGAAGAATATGAAAATGAGGATGAAGATCTTCTCCTCGAAGAACAATTTCGTCAGTTTCGTAATATAATGTATCGAAAGAATATTCTCGCGAATATGGAAATGATAATTTTGCGAATGTTAAATGTTGATGAAAGTTTTGTAAATTTTCAAATATGTGTGTACTCAAAGTTGAAAGTTATTTTAAAAGATTATTGCCAAAGAGTTCAAGCATTTCTGAAACGCAACGAAGCACTTCTAGAATCGCAAGAAGATTTAGAACAGAATCTAATAATTAAAAGTATTCGGGATAAATATAAACAGCTGCAGCAGCTCTTGATTAAATTGATCGAGGTATGGTTAAACAGGTAACTACTATAGTAGATGCTAATAAAATTTTATAATTTTTAGAAATAATTTTTTGTGATACAGGGTCAGATATTTTCTTTGGAATTTGCGGTGTAGCCGCACGTGAACCCAAAAAAACGCGGTAGAAGAAAGTAATTAAAATTTGTCACGTGATGTTGTGGAAAAAAATTAAATTATTTTTTTATGTTTGTATCATATAGCGTGTAAAAAATAAATGTTTGTTAAATTAAATTGCATTGTATTTGTTAATTAGTTTAGTATTTAAACAGAGTCAATGACATAGTCAATGATCAAAGTTCATTACGCAAACTTATCTCGAGCTGTGTCTGCAGATATCGCAAATATTCCGGCAGATGTCTCCATTTTATTTCATACTTGAGCTGTAGATCTTTCAGCTGCCTATCGACATTCGATGTTGTTGGATCGTGAAGTTGCAGTGTATGTTATCTTGTGTCACTTTTTGTAATTTAGTATAATATAGAAGGTGTTTTCTGTTTAATGTAGAAAAGGCTATAAACAAAAATCTAATCCTCAATATTTTCACTGGTGAATAGCAAATGACTAAGAGTTATAATTTTACTGTGTCATGTCAACGTTAAGTGAATACATTTGTCAGCTATCTACGGAGGAAAAAGCGTATTTGGCGGCCAATTTGAATGAAACTGACGAAACCAGGCCAATTAAAATAGCTGAAATAAGACAGTGGATAATAGAGAATGATAACTTACATGCGCCTACTGGTATTCATATTTAATTTCAAACATACCATATAAATTTCCTCTTTTTCTTTATTTCTTTTGTGTTTAAAAAGATGTTTTATACTTTTATAGACGACTTTTTTGTTCTTCGTTTCTTAAGAGCATGCAAATTTAATGTGGAGAAAACAAAATCTAAATTACAGAATTATTATAAACAGAGAACAAATTTGCCAGAATGGTACAGTAACAGGAATCCCTTTTTATCAGAGTTACAAGAACTTTTTGATTTAGGGTAATGATTATAAAATTATATTATTTTTATATTTTTTAAATATTATTATAATACCTCTCAATCGTGTTTTAGTTTACGTAAATGCTATCGTTTCCAAAGATTAAATATGACCGAAAGAATGCTCGATAATATTCCTATCATTATTTGTAGTTTTCCTGGTCACGTTTAGTACTTTAGATCTTTTTGTAGAGCTAAGAACACGTTTAATACCGATAGTGTATCTGCATTCGATAAGCCGTAGCATGCATTTTGCAATAGATAATTGTTTCAGTTTCAATTATAATATATTCATTATCAGACATAGTATATAATTCAAAAGTCACTATAGCATTTCTTTTTTGAATACGTGTTAATAGCATGCAATTTTCGTTATGTAATATAAGATCAAATTTTACATATATAAGAAAAGTGGTTACTCTTTAAGTTTGCCTTTCCAGGGTACTTTTACCTTTGAGAAAATTAGATAACGAGGGCAGAATGATCGTGATAATACGTGCGGCCGTACACTCTCCCAGAAAGCACAAAATGACAGACATGTTGAAGGTATGAAAAACAAAATTACTAGTCCGCATGAACGGAAGATATAAATTGTAAATTGCAAATAAAAGAAGTAAGCAGTTGCACCTGATAATTTTATTAAATTCATAAATATATTCGCGAACGAAATTTTTGCTTCAGGTATAAGGAATAAAAATTTAAGCAATAAAATACATTTTTTTTCGCATTAGGCAGCATTAATGATTTTGGATCTAGTATTACGAGATCACGAGTTCGTTACGATTTACGGTATAACGGCTATTTTGGACATAGGAGGCATTACGTATGAACACGTTCTTCAATTACCACCGAATGTTATTAAGAATTTAGTTCATGCATGGCAGGGCTGCTACCCTGTTAGAATTTATTCGCTGAACTTTATTAATGCTCATAAATTCATAAATGTAGTATTGAACATTTTTAGAAGTTTTATGACTAAAAAATTGAGACAAAGGGTACATGTTCATGCACGTGGTAAATTAAAGTTGTACGAAACTTTACCAATGGATATATTACCAAAAGAATATGGTGGTATGGATGGAACAGTGAAAGAATTAAGCGGTAAAGTTTTTGTTTCATACGGTGCTTGTATGTGGGTAAATAAGACGAATGTTAATTATGTCATTTTAATTATGCTTCAGAGTATTGGAAACGTAAGGTTAAAGAGAATCGAGAGTGGTTCGCCGAGGAAGAAAAATACAAATTGTCGTTAAGTAACTAAATTGATTCTAATTTGTGATAACGAGGGATTGCATATGCAATTGTCGAGTAGTTAATAGTAGACTACGTGATAGGCATCGAAATATTTTATATTTTTTGTAAATGTTTTTTATACAGAAAATAAAACGAAAAACGAAAATATCACCTTTTTTTTTTAAATATTTAGTTTATGTATTCATTGCGTAATTTTATTCAGACTAAATGTTTTTTCAAGCGTAAATAATCAGAAAGATCAATAACGTATAAAATGTAATTGCTATAATTCATATTCTACAATATGGTACATATTTTGAGTTCTAAAATTGCATTGCACATTAGCGCATATTAATTATTCTAATTATACCTTTCCAATAATTTTCTCCGTCAAAGTTTACCTTTATACAAAATTTCATGTATTCTTCTTGTCATACATGAAACATATTTCTCATTTATCGTGTGAATATATCCTTTTCTTCGTTTTTCGCGTTTCTTAACCGCGATTTTTCTCATCGCATTATCAGTTAAATAAAACGTACATTTAAGTCATGGGCAAGTAAGACTGTCCTACATCTAATTCGCTACTCATTAACTTAACCATTTACTACTCACAATCCCATTTACGTCTGGGACAAATTTACCAAGGCACATTGTACTGAATTTAAGTAAAAATCGTCTCGTTCATCGCCAAGCATTCTGTACAGCGTTTCCTTTTATAGGTTAATTTAAACGAGACGATGAATACTTTTTACAGATATCCATGGTAAAATGCATCTCTAAGAATACATGGTATATTACAGACGTTCAACTAAATAAAAAAGGGATAGAAGAAAAGAAATCCCTAAGAGGACCAGACACACCACAAACAGTCATTTGTTCTTCATCATTCACACATAAGGGACATTAAGCGCACAAGGAGCATCACATATATCTGGAGATTCACGCACGGGGGGCGCAACGAGATCGTCTCGAGGAAGCTGCCGAAGTGATCTCTTCTCGCTTCGAGTTTCCACCGATGGCCGACCGTGATTTTTCGAGTCGAACCAACGTGTCGTTAGCTTGATTTTCCTCTTTCACGTGGCGATGACGATTTCCAAACGCCACGATAAAATCCTATCCGCGCTTAAATTTGAGCACCATTATGCTTATCGTGAGGAACAGAATTATCCAGACAATGGTTGCGATGAAGCCATTGTAGACGTCCGATTTCGAAATGGCCCAACCACGTGTCAGCATGGAACGCAACGACGTCGTAGCCAATGTCAACGGAAGACCCTGAGATATATGCCGTAGGACTGTTGGCATACCTTCTACTGGCCAAATAACACCTAGAATCAGACAATTATATCAATTTATCAGTTCAATGCTACATAAATAACGAAAGAAGTTTCGTAGGAAAAAATGTCTTCTACTCTGATGGATAAGTAACAAGTTACATAATAAAGAATTCACTTCTGGGCACTGGAAAGTTGAAAGCTGGCACACATTCTTTGGTTCTTCTAGAGATTTAGTATAACTCTATTAAAATAATATTCTTTGTTGTGATACTCTAGCTTGTCTGAACATTTGTAAAACATATGATCTGAACATCTTCAAGTTGAATATAATTAAGTATGCAAATAACTCTTTCTTCTGCTGGCCAACATTTAATCAGAATAATCATCATTAAATTTATGCATTTTATTCGAAAATATTTACTAACACTATGGCCAGGAACAAGATAAGAGAATTATATGTTTTCAATTTATATAATATACATACCGCTTAACAAAAGCGTAGGATAGAAACTGCCCAAAGCTAGTTGGATTGCATTTCTTTCAAGTTCGCAAAACGCTGAAATTACAAACCCTGAAAACAAGAAGAAAGGCTTGAGTAAATGTTTCATTTAATTAGTATCATTAATTTATTGCGAAGGAAAGTTCGTTAATATGTTTCACAGGATAAAAGTACGAGTTAGTATTAAATATTACTTTACTGGGATTAAAAGTTTATCTTCTGTGTGTCAACAAAAAACTATAACTCATTTTTTGAGGTTTTATTCAAGAATTGATTTTACATTTTTAAACTCACCGAAACACATGCCGCATAGACCCTGGAGAATCGTCAAGACAATCACCCAGCCTATTTCTCCCTTGCACTCGACACCAAATACCAGAATCATGAATATTAGTACCAATGCAGTTTGGCCACACATTACCACGAATTGTGTAATTACGTGAGAGAAAAGGACCTCTGCTGGTGAGACGCCAGCCACCCAACTTCTGTCTAGAAGACCCTCCGTCCTCTCGATGATTAGAACTGAGGAAGTAAGAGCCACCGCCAAGAAGAAGACAATACTGCGAACATATGATAGTTTTGTGAATACCTATTGTCTCACTCTGTTCTTTCATTAACAACCTGATGCTAATAGTAATTGATTTTTACTTACGTTAAAATTACTCCTGGCGCTACGAAATCGGTGAAACTGGGATCATCAGTGCCGTAAAGTGGATTCTCAAAATGAATCGGTACGTCAGCCAATTTTGAGTTCTGTTCACATGATGTTAAAAGATCTTTGGCAAAATCCCTGTACGAATATTGAAGGTTCCTGGCTAGCATCAATCCTATTTGTTGATCTATAATATGATAACAAAGGTACAGTCATTATTTATATCTTAAAACCTGGAGAAACATAGTGTTCTGATAATTTAAAACTTACTAGACATGTCTAGCCAGACCCTGATTTCGCTCTGCTCTAAGGTTTCATCGTCAGCTTCTCTTCCTAGAGCCATCCTTGCAACAAGAGCGTCTGTGAAGTTCTCAGTAAAGTAGAGAGTACCCCAAGCGTTTCCTTTGCGTACCGCGTCCATTGCTGAGTCAGGATCTGGATAATATTCCTAAAACGTAGATATCCCTTTCAATAATTACAAACTGGAATCTCTAAGTCGCACTCGAACTCGTGGTCTTACTTTTATCATCGTATCATTGTCCAAAAATTTAAGATACCGGCAACTAAGACGCGTAAAGTCGCAATCTTCCGTTATCGGACAAGACATGTTCTCATAGAACATTTCATGATTGACTATTGCCAATTTTAACCCAACTGGATCCCTACCAATCGCCAGACAAAACAGGATCACTTGCATCACTGGCAGTGCAAAGATGAATAGCATTACTCTGTACGTAAAACACACTTTTACCATCTTCATCTAATAAGAAATGTAATATTGCTTTCTCTGCATTCAACGTAACAAAAACTTACCCTACATTTCTCCACATACGTAAAAAGTTTTTCTGCAATAGCGCTTTCATTTTGCCCGTGTTCGTTATTTTGAAGCAATCAGTGAAGTCACTGCAATCATCGCACTCCAATGTCGAGCTATTCTTCACTCCAGACAACGGTTTTCCGTTTAACTGTTCCATATAAAAATAGACATATGATTCGAGGGGACTCTAAAAACTCGCTCACGTATCATAAGATTATTTTGTTCAGCGAGTATCACGTCAATGTGTGACTAAAGAACATTATTGTTCACGTATGAAAATTTTTCCTAAATTCTTACATCGTAATGGTTTCCAACACCGTTCGTCGAGTCATGAATGAGCACCTCTTTACTCTGATGGAAGTTTAGGCCAACTACACCCGATTCTTCAGTCACGTACACCGGCTCGTTCTTCTTACCCCAGTTCAGAGAAGCCTATGAAAAGGTAATTGATATTAACTCTCCAAGAATTTTGTTTCCACGATCCATAGAACCAAATATCACCATTTCTTCTTACCAGACTAATATTATTAGAGATATTCAATTCTGTCGGTGGTTGACTGTACTGTCCTTGCTTCCGTGACAGTTTCAGGAAAACGTCTTCAAGGGAAGCACAGTTGTACATCGTCAGGAGAGATCTGGGAGATTCTTCAGCTAGTAAATGACCGCTTCTCATCAAACCAATCTGTGGAAAGAAAATTTCTGTGAATAAATACAAGATCTTTCTGGGATCAAGGTAAGATACATTTTTCTCTACACAATGATAAAAAACGATTATTTTGTAGCGATGGTAAGTGTTTTTTAAGATGAACTTGAATACAAAGTACACGTGACGTCATATATGCCATTTGCAATTTGTATTAATAAAACAAAGTATGTATTTGTAATACTTGTCTAGCTGTCTCCTTGAGTCTTCGCTGATTCTTACGTATTATCGTTTTTCTTATTGTCGAGAAACCGTGATAGACGCAGTGATCTGGTTTCATCCATTTTTTAAGGTGAAACCAAGCAAGATTATGTAAAAATGCTCGAGTAAAATGCAAAACTCAAAGCTTAGGTTTCCTTATAATTATCATTGTAAATGGTTCTAACAAGCATGTTTTGTTAACATCACAAGAAATTGGAGATAAAAATGGAAATAAAATTTGATAAATTCTCCTGGTTACTTTTTTCCCTCATGAATCATGAATGATCATAAAACGGTTTGAAAATGCAAAAGGGTACTTTTTGTATACGACACCAAGAGGTATATAAAACCTGCAATCGAGGGTTGTCAAAACAAACAGACTTATAATTTGCATAATGTCCAAATGAATCAGCTAAAGGACAGATTACGAGATCGGATCAACCGGTCATTATAATGACGTAATTTCAGAACGAAAATGTTTGCGTTGCACTTGCAAAAAGATCAAGGTGTTTTTCAGAAACGTAAAATGCGTAGAAAACTTTGTTCAATCCATAGGTATTTGAAAGGAACGTCCAGAGCGAGTCGTGTTGCACTCTGTAGTATTTCTGCGAAAGTTTCCCCTTTTTCTTTTTTTTTCTTTCAAAAGCCTGACGTATATTCGTCGAAAGGCAGAGTCATGGTTGCACAATTTTAATATGCGATCATTATCGTAATCGGTGGACGATTTCGTTTGGCAATGGCTCCGGTTGCATTTGTATTCCCACGTATGCACCGATATTGTGCCCCGAATATTTTTATTACACACCAACGACCGCATTACATAAGGCCCCACGTACCGTGTGCGCCTGTCGGGCCTCCTCGATGTAGTGTGTGGTTATAATTACGGTCTTGTTTCCATCTTTTGTTATTTGGACCAGGTGATTCCATATGCTGCAAAAGAAAATGCATCGTAATTCTGTGCTCGTTAACAAATGGCATAATTTAACAAGAAGTCGTCGATTTTGGAACTTTAATGGCATCGGGAAATACTTTGCGTATTTAGACTCTAATTACCGCATTAATTTCGTCGATATGAAATTAATATAAAAATCGATATTAATATTCGCAATATTAAATCCAAGGAGAAAGATTCCAGTTCTCCCAGTCTGTTATGCATAATATCCAACATTTTTTGGCACGGTTCATTATTTTTCATATACTTTTTAAGAAGCCATCGGGAGAACTAATTCAACGATTAGTCAAGCTACATTTCTATGAGAAAGCACGGAAGCGGAGAATCTCCTCTTGGTCGTTATACACAGACACTTCAATTTCGAGAAACTAGCGTGAAGTGCTCGTAAATACCAGCGATCGTGAGTATTCGTGGTAATCCGAGGAAGCGATGCTCGTCTTGCAACAGGTATAATCGCCTTGCGAACTTTCTCGTGGCTAATTAGTCCTTTTCTTTATCGTCGTTTGCTTTTTCACTGGAAAAAAGCAGCCACGTGGGGTAGAACTATCGGAGAATCTGATTAATACGAACGTTCGCAGCAGTTGTCCGAAATCTTTTTCTCCAAACGTGCTGGCTTGAATAGCGATGTTGAGAATTTACGAGGATCTCGCTTGAACCTTGAACCTCTGCGGAGGATTCGTGT